TCACAGCAGGATCCTCTATGACCCACCTCCCAGAATTTTCGAAACAAAAGCAAAAATAAACAAATGGGACCTAATGAAACTTAAAAGCTTTTGCACAACAAAGGAAACTATAAGCAAGGTGAAAAGACAGCCCTCAGATTGGGAGAAAATAATAGCAAACGAAGCAAGAGACAAAGGATTAATCTCAAAAATATACAAGCAACTCCTCCAGCTCAACTCCAGAAAAATAAATGACCCAATCAAAAAATGGGCCAAAGAGCTGAACAGACATTTCTCCAAGGAAGACATACAGATGGCACAAAAACAGATGAAAAGATGCTCAACATCACTCATTATCCGAGAAATGCAAATCAAAACCACAATGAGGTACCATTACACGCCAGTCAGGATGGCTGCTATCCAAAAATCTACAAGCAATAAATGCTGGAGAGGGTGTGGAGAAAAGGGAACCCTCTTACACTGTTCGTGGGAATGTACTAATTTAGTACAGCCACTATGGAAAACAGTGTGGAGATTTCTTAAAAAGCTGGAAATAGAACTGCCATATGACCCAGCAATCCCACTCCTGGGCATACACACCGAGGAAACCAGATCTGAAAGAGACACGTGCACCCCAATGTTCATCGCAGCACTGTTTATAATAGCCAGGACATGGAAGCAACCTAGATGCCCATCAGCAGACGAATGGATGAGGAAGCTGTGGTACATATACACTATGGAATATTACTCAGCCATTAAAAAGAATTCATTTGAATCAGTTCTAATGAGATGGATGAAACTGGAGCCCATTATACAGAGTGAAGTAAGCCAGAAAGATAAAGACCATTACAGTATACTAACACATATATACGGAATTTAGAAAGATGGTAACGATAACCCTATGTGCAAAACAGAAAAAGAGACTCAGATGTATAGAACAGACTTGTGGACTCTGTGGGAGGAGGCGAGGGTGGGATGTTTCAAGAGAACAGCATCGAAACATGTATATTATCTAGGGTGAAACAGATCACCAGCCCAGGTTGGGTGCATGAGACAAGTGCTCGGACTTGGTGCACTGGGAAGACCCAGAGGGATAGGGTGGAGAGGGAGGTGGGAGGGGGGACCGGGATGGGGAATACATGTAAATCCATGGCTAATTCATTTCAATGTATGACAAAAACCACTGCAATGATGTAAAGTAATTAGCCTCCAACTAATAAAAATAAATGGAAAAAAAAATGGATTGAAGACCTAAACATAAATGTCGAAAACTATGAAACTCTTAGAATAAAACATAGGGAGAAAGTTTCATGACACTGGATTGGGCAATAATTTCTTAGAAGTTATGACATTAAAAGCATACACAATGAAAGAAAAAATAGATAAACTGAAAAACAAATTTAAAATCTTTTATGTAGCAAGGGACACTAACAACAAAATAAAAGGGCACTCCAGAGTGGGAGAAAGTATTTACAAATCATGGATCTGGTAAGGGATTAACAACTAGAAAATATAAAGCAATACTACAACACAGCAGCAAACAATCTGATTAAAAAACCACCAAGGGCCCTAAGTGATATTTCTTCACACTGGTCGATAAGCACTGAAAAGATACTCAATATGACTAATCATTAGGGAAATGCAAATCAAAACCACTATGAGATACCACATCACATTCAATAGGATGGCTACTATCAAACAACGTAATTGTGTTGACAAGGATGCGGAGAAACTGGAATTTCTGTGCACTGTTGGTGGGAATATAAAGTGGTTTGTCCATTATGGAAAACAATATGGTGGTCTTTCGCCACAACTAAAAATGTAACAACCATATGATCCAGCAATTCCATTTCTGTACATATACTCAAAAGAATGGAAAACAGGGACTCACACAGTTGCACACCAATGTTTATAGCAGCTATTCACAATTTCCAAAAGATGGATATAACCCAAGTGTCCATCAGTAGACAAATGGGTCGACAAAATGTGGTATACACATTACAACTGAATAACACTTAGCCTTAAAGAGGAAGGAAATTCTGATGCATGCTATAACATGGCTGAACCTTGAGGACATTATGCAAAGTGAAATAAGCCAGGTAGAAAAGACATACATTATATGATGCCATTTACATATGGTATCTAGAGTAGTCAAACTCACACTTATGTGCTTACAGAGTAGAATGGTGATTTCCAAGAGTTAGGGGGAAGAGCAAAGCATATTGTCTGATGAATACAGATTTTTAGTTTGGGAAGAAGAAAAAATTTCGGGAGATTGATGGTAGTGACTGTCACAATGGTGCCAACCTACTCGTATGTCAATGAACTGCACATGTGAAAATGGTTAGCATAGTGAATATTTTGAAATGTGTATTTCACCACAATAAAAAAAAATGTAATGCATGCATGCAAAGTTTTTAATCTGTTAAAAATATCAACTTTTTTCTTTTTATAAAACTACTAAGTACTTGGGAGTTAGATATATGTGACACATGGTTCATTTTGCTAATCAAAATAAACTTAAAGCTGTTCTAAAGGAATTCTTAAAAAATCTCTAAGTTTATAGATGTTTACATCGTAAGTTGTGTCTTATAAACATAAATGACATTTATGTTTCAAAACTAAATGACATTCTAACAGCATATAAAAGTACCTTCAATTTACAAATTTATCACACGCAGTACCCACTGTATTACAATTCACTAATACTCCCTCCCACCCACTACCTTCCTGCTTCCACAGTCTTTAATAAAAGAAAAATAACAAAAAAACAATGCCTCTTCAGGGAGAGATATCATTTCTATCTGCCTTTTCTGTGAGATGAAGTCAGTTTCTATCATTGGTCACTAAGGTGAGGAAACTGAGATAAGACTCTACTGTAGATTTAACTTGATATAACTGTAATTACAACCTGTTTTAAGGTAGATAATTATAACTACACTTAGCATTTTTATACAGTTTAAATGTTCCATAAGACAAAACAAACCTATTTTGAATCCATACCAAATCTTAAAAATAAAAGCATTGTATATTATGTATTTTAGGATCAAATGTATTATTTAATGCAAAAACATACATAATGAAAACTTTACAAACAAATAACATTACAAAGTGGCTTAATCACAGAAGTGCTAAGCACTAATTCCTCTGTAATCTTAAAAGAATTTAGCATCTGAATTGACCAACTGCCCACTGCTAAGTATGAGAATATCTCATTCCTCTCTGGCACCAAAAGACATTCTGCAATTTACTTTGGCTTTAACGTCTTTTTTTGTATACACTGCTCCCTCTGCCTAGAATACCTTCCTGTGACTCCGTGCTACACACACATCTAAAGCAATGCTCTTAAGACACAGGCTGAGTATCTCTTCCCTGAAATTTTCCCTGACCACACTCCTCTCTTCACCTGCTTGCCTCAACCCATAAAACTGCTCACTTCCTCCTTTTCAAAGATCTACTAAGTATTTATCACATCAGATAATACTGATTTATTCACCTTTCTACAGCTTTGACTAGTCCAGTCTTTCTTCTGGGATAAAGAATATGCCATACTCATAATAAGCAGGCACTCAAATGTTTGCTGAAGTTGTTTTTCCCCTTCAAAAAACAGCTGTCTACAAATTGCTAAACTGTGTCCTCTAAAATGCATGTCAACATTTTATGTTAATGGATTTCCCTTGGGCTTTAAGTCTAGCCCTTTATAATATTTCTATGGAGTATATTCATAACACTTCCTTTGAAAGCTAGACTTTTTAACCTGAAGGAACTGAGTTCCAAAAAGAAGCAGTGAGTTTCTCTCTGATCTTACTGCTTCTGCAATCCAGCAGCTTCCTTACCCTCTGGGGGTTATTAACAGGGTTTCAATAAAATCTACTGCAAAGTCTAGTTCAACAGCAAGATTTTATTATAGAAACAGCAGTCTACTTACATTGCCTTAAAATAAGTAAAAATAAAATGCATTTAAAATGTAATTTTTAAGACTGCAGAAATCCTATAGTTTTGTGTGTTTTTTTTTTCCTTTCTTTTTTTTTTTTTCCATTTATTTTTATTAGTTGGAGGCTAATTACTTTACATCATTGTAATGGTTTTTGTCATGCATTGAAATGAATCAGCCATGGATTTACATGTATTCCCCATCCCGGTCCCCCCTCCCACCTCCCTCTCCACCCGATCCCTCTGGGTCTTCCCAGTGCACCAGGCCCGAGCACTTGTCTCATGCACCCAACCTGGGCTGGTGATCTGTTTCACCCTAGATAATATACGTGTTTCGATGCTGTTCTCTTGAAACATCCCACCCTCGCCTTCTCCTATAGTTTTGAAAGACACCTTTCTTCCTAATATTTGAAAAGGTTATTTTTTTAAAATACCTATTTCTAGGTCAGCTATTTGGAAGACTAAAATTAGCCACAGATGGCGATTTTTTCTAGAATTGCCCATAAAACTTTAGCGTAGTATATGTTTAAGCACTTGAGCTCTGAAATCAGACACCCAGTTTTGAATTCAGATCCCCTTCTTCACTCCCTTCACAGCTTCAGACCCTTGACCAAATTTTTTATTCTTTCCTGGGAAATAAAGACCTTCACACATTTTTTTTTAGTAAGAATTAAATGAGATAATATACTTTGAGCATTTAGTACAGTACTTAACAAAACTCAAGAAAGGTGAGCTAAACTTACTCCATAACACGTATAAACTATGGTAGCATACACCTTTACCATTGCTACTACATTGACAACACAAGAACGGCTGTACTGAAGAGATGAAAGTTTTATAGTAATACAGATAAAACCTATCATAAAACTTGTGTAGAATTTGGATTCTACCATATGTTAGCACATTTTTGAACATGAAATAACATGAAATAAAATTTGCTATTACTCTTTTATTATAAAGTACTTCAACAAGGATACATTGTTTTTATTTCAAATTCTAGAGTGAGCAATAAATTAAAATCTCATAAAAAAAATCCAAGTATTGTTTTATAATCAAACAACTGACATCTTTGGAAACATGACAGCTACCTGATCTGTCTGTCCTGAGTGAACGTAGTTACTGCAGCACTCTGGGGACTGTTTTGTGGCATACTAGATGGAATCTGGACCATGCTTCCGGCCGTCGGCTGAGAAATCACCATAGTGTTATACAGTGGGGCTGTAAGGGTGCTCTGTGTCTGACTGGGAAGAGATGTTTGTTGACTGTGCCCACTCAGTACATTCTGTTGACTCTGCTAGAACAGGGAAGATATCACAGACAGAAAAAAATTTATTCACGAAGTATGCTTCTACCACTCATCATTCTAACAATAGTTGACATGATAGAAAAAGAAGTGGCAGAACATACTACTCTGGGAGAAACTGAACCATCAAGGAATAACTTGCAATAACTGAGAATGAATTAGTCTTCAATATTTTGCTGGAAGGTAAGCTATGATTTTTGAAAAGGAGCATGATCTTAACGATGACATAAAATACACATGAAGAACTACTAAACACCCAAAGTAACTGACATTTGACATTTTTATGTATTTCATTCGAAGTCTTGAGATTTACAATCACAGATGCATGTCAATTACCAAAATTTCCTAGAATATTAATTGAGCCATCACTGCCCTAACAAAATACATTCTTCACATATGCTAACACATGTCCTGGTCAGAATCCTGCAACTTTCTTTTTTTTTCCACACACAGAAGTAGTCTGTATATTCATTTCAAGCAAAGTGCAAAAATTTTCTAAATGTTGAAATACAGAAAGCATTCAACATTCAACACTTTAAGAACAATTTTGCACAAAATACTTTATCACTCTCAATACTATAGTTTCTAATTATTACTATTAAAGTTTTACATATGGTATTGTTCAAAATGAAGCTTTTGTTTTTGTCTTAGCAACACCACACATTTCAATCACTGAACATTCCCAGCCCACTGTACTCAATAACATTACCTGACTTGATGTACTTTGTAAAGTCTGCTGTTGTATCATATGCTGAGTTGTGCCAATGTGTCCAGTATTTATTCCACTTTGAATCTGGTTAGTTTGAACAACCTGGCTTTGCATATTTATAGGTGCAAGCTGCTGGATATTAGATGAATTTCCAGAAGAAAGTTGAACAGAACCAAAATTCAATCCAGGGGTTGACTGTTGTAAAAACATCTTTAAAAATAAAGATTACGTTAAAATGATCTTTTTAAATTAAAAAGAATGAGAGCATTTTTAGCAAAAATAGCTAAAAATTAAGTTTTAAAAGCAAGTAACGAGAAGACTAAGTCATTCTGAATGAACAATGAGCAATAAATAATTACTGAATAAAACATGATACTCATTTACATTCTTGCAATCATCCTCACCCCTAATTATGTTTCTAATTGTCAGAAAAAGCATTATACATTTCAAAACTTCTACTTGCTTGACACTTTACATGTTGAGGATTATTATATATGTTACCGTTACCCTAACTTAGCTACTCAGAGGTCTGTGGATTGGAAGCTGTGCATCACTCATCATTTATAATTCATGGCATTAAAGAGAAGTGGTTTTCACTTGAAGTTTTTAACCAAAGTCCTAGTTGCATGGGATAGAGATAACTTTGGCCTTGTTGGTTGACCAAATAAGACTATAATTTGAATCATACCTACCAGTAAGTTATTAAAAAAATTACTGATGATTAACTTTAAATTCTGTTACCTACATGTACCTAAAAGTCTACGTAAAGTATTATTTTGATATTATGGGAGTTTAAGCTTACTAATAATTAGATTGCTAAAAGATGACTCTAATCTGGAGAAACAAAAATGCTGATGCAAACACTTTTAGGAATCAATTATCTTTAGCTACTGTAAATGCCTTTTCATACTGTTCATGGGTTCTCAAGGCAAGAATGCTGAAGTGGTTTGCCATTCCCTTCACCAGTGGAATAGCATATTAAAAAGCAGAGACATTACTTTGCCAACAAAGGTCCGTCTAGTCAAGGCTATGGTTTTTCCAGTAGTCATGTATGGATGTGAGAGTTGGACTGTGAAGAAAGCTGAGTTCTGAAGAATTGATGCTTTTGAACTGTGGTGTTGGAGAAGACTCTTGAGAGTCCCTGGACTACAAGGAGATCCAACCAGTCCATCCTAAAGGAGATCAGTCCTGAGTGTTCACTGGAAGGACTGATGTTGAAGCTGAAATTCCAATACTTTGGCTACCTCATGTGAAAAGTTGACTCACTGGAAAAGACCTTGATGCTGGGAGGGACTGAAGGCAGGAGGAGAAGAGGACGACAAGAGGATGAGATGGCTGGATGGCATCACCAACTCAATGGACATGAGTTTGAGTAAACTCTGGGAGTTGGTGATGGGTAGGGAGGCCTGGCATGCATGAGCTCGCAGAGTCGGAAATGACTGAGCGACTGAACTGAACTGTAAATGCAATCATAATGAGTATATAACCAATGAGTATTTACTGAACTAAATGGATGAAACATATCTTTTGCATCTCACTTTTTATTAAGAAGAGTCAATTTCCTAAGAAGCCAAAATACAAACGGCATGCATTGTTTGTCATCAAATGTAGTAACTTACCTGCAGCCCTTGACCATGAACCATTTGAAGCTGTTCTTGAATTTTTCTTAGTTCTTCTTGTTGCCGATGAATATTCGCCTCTATCATCCGAGTCCGCTGCTCCAATTGGTCTTTGAGATGCTGCATGGCTCCTAACTGAGCTGAGAACTGAAACTTAAGTATCGTGGGTGGAAAAAGTGTAACATATTTTACAATCACTTCTCATAACTGTAAAATGTGAAATGTAAGCAGTGCATCATGAATTAGGAATGTCATGCCAGTTACTAATTTATTGCTGCTCAACATCTAATTCACCTATCATTGCTCAGCTTTGTGGCACTAGAGCTGGACCCTATAAATGTTTCTCCTTAATCAGCAGGCACCAGCAGTCATGTCAGTGATGATGTGGAGGGATGCTGTAAAGGGAGACTGGGTTACCTCTCTGGTTCTAGTGCTTTTCCTTCTCGTTCTTATGCCAGCGGGTAGCATCCCAGTGAGTATCACCAGCATCCAGCAGCTGGCTTTCCAGCAAGTCTCACTGGCTTGCTAGTGGGCAGCCTCCCAGCAAATTTTACTGCTATTCCAGCAGGTGGCTTCTCGCTCCCCAGCCCAAGTCTGCGGCACTTCAGTGATGTGTGTACATCCACAGCGGCTCCTATGGGACCTGAGTCTCAGCCTGGCCTGGAGGAGCAAGAGCTCAGGAGGATGGAAGGAGTCTTCTGAGCTGTTCCCTCTCGGCAACTCTCCCTTTCACTTACCTTTAGTGGCTGCTCTCTACACTGGTCTTCCCTGTATCCTTTTGAGTTCTCTTAACTGCTCTCAGTAGTTAATCTCTGTTACCAGTTAATACTTTTTTATGCCATCCCTGTTCAAATTTCCCATCCAGCTTCTGACTAGAGCTTGACTGATTACAAGATGACTTAATAACACTGGCTTTTAAAGACCTAAGTTCCTACTGTGGCGCTACTACTTGATAGAACAAGTTATTGAACTTCATTCCTGACGTTCTAACAAATGAAAAAGTAGCCTGCACCTGGAGTTATTCACATAAAATTCTGTCATCCCGAGAATGTCTTCTTTGTGCAGGTCATTAGAAAGTTATAAAAATCTGACAGATTTAACCAACCATAAAATTTTCAACAAACTGTTCTCAAACACAAAAACCTAGGTTTTTAAAGACCAAGCAATTATAAGTGAATGCTGCATTTGCCAACAAAAGCATAGTTATTCTACTTACAGAGTAAGGTTTTCAATCTCACTTATTTCCGCTTCACCTGAGTTACAGACAGCTTCTATTTACTACTGCTTGAAACTAAGCACATTTAGTGACTCACCACTTAAGTTTAAATAGGCTCATTTACTTATTTCCAGGAATATTCAGCACAGGATACAGTATAAAAGCAGAAAGAATTTCACTTCATTGGAAATCTGTCTTACCTTAAGAGTCTCCTACAATGCATGTAAAAGCAAATGACACCCCAAAAGCTTTTTTACCCTATCTTCAAAAGTTTGTTTTGAGAATATTGAATATTACTTTTCAAAGTATACAACTCTGACTTCTGAAGTTGACAATAACCAGATCAAACATCAGATTACACTAGGTATGAAAAAATATTACAAATTTAATATCCTCATGCCTTAATGTTTTATTATTTGAAAATTTATATTTATATCATATAAATATATTGTATCCTAAAGTTATTTATACCTTTAGATAAATATTATACTGTCACCACTTAAAGAATTTCTATTAAATACAAATAAGAATAAACACAGAAAGCAGAATAATGGGAAACAAAATCAAAGAACTAAGAAAAGTGTTTGGCTTTATCACTGAGTGAAATGAGATTTGAATACTTATTTGAGGACACAGTGCTGATGAAAACTACTGCAACTCCAGATACTATTTAATAATATAGTGCTGCTATAAATACCTTACACAATTATGTGTTGCTAAAAGTCAAGATTATGACAATTAGATTGTTATTTAGATTATGACAGTTTACAGCAATGTCAATATATTTGTACAAGTATCATAATATATAATAGCTATAATTGTATATGTCTGGTGGCTCAGATGGTAAAGAATCCGCCTGCAGTGCGGGAGACCTGGGTTTGATCCCTGGGTTGGGAAGACCCCCTGAAGGAGGGCATGGCAACCCACTCCAGTATTCTTGCCTGGAGAACCGCATGGACAGAGGAGTCTGGTGGGCTACAGTCCATGGGTCACAAAGAGTTGGACAAGACTGAGCAACTAAGCACAATTTAAGTAACAACCATATAAGATAAAGATATTTTTAGATACCTAGTGTTAATATTATTTGAAATTAAGACACTGTGGAGATAGCTTCAACATCAAACACAACAGAAAATTTCAGATTATTTCTAGTACAACTTAGTTTTTTCACTTGTCTGAGGCACTGAGTGAGTGCAATCATAAATGAAAAGTTGTGAAGTTATAATCAAAAGTGTCACTTTTGTAATTCCTCTCCTTTGTCTTGCTAGCTTTTATATTTAAGCCTCCTTTGGGACTCAGCCCAAGTAACAATTCTTCCAGAAAGTTCTCTTTCACTTCCTCAGTCTGCAATTAAGAGTCCATCTAATGTGCTCACGTATCAAGCTTTAGACCTTGAGCATAGACTATTTGTGGTTATCTATCATTCCCTCTAGATGGAATAAACTTTCTTAGTATAGATATATTTGCACTGCCAGCACCTGCAATATCTGATAATATAAGGAGCTTAATAAATGGCTTATATATAAACAAATGAATATATGAATAAAATTACTCAATTCTTCCAATATCAATGGGAAGAACAAAATGAACAACTACCTTTCATCTTTAATATTTTTCTATGAAAAGTGAGAGAGTTAGTCACTTAGTCATGTCCAACTCTTTGTGACCCCATGGCCTATAGACCTCTAGGCTTCTCTGTCCATGGAATTCTCCAGGCAAGAATACTGGAGTGAGTAGCTATTCCTTTCACCAGGGAATCTTCCTGACCAGGTCTTCTGTACTGCAATCTAAGCCACCACAGTATTTCTCAACAGGGATTAATCAGGATAGCTTTTTGTTGTGCAAAACTGTCATGAACCCTAAAAGACAACTGAAGTACCAGAGGCACCTCAATAGCATTGACAATCAAAAAATCCCCAGGTATTCTAAACATCCACAACTGAGATTTACTGCATCTGTATTTTTAAAAATCACTAGTAGCTTGAAAGTGAAAGTCACTCAGTTGTGTCCAACTCTTTGGAACCCCTTGGACTATACAGTCCATGAAATTTTCCAGGCCAGAATACCGGAGTGGGTAGCCATTCCCTTCTCCAGGGGATCTTCCCAACCCAGGGATCGAACCCAGGTCTCCCACCTTGCAGGCGGATTCTTTACCAGCTAAGCCACAAGGGAAGCCCAAGAATACTGGAGTGGGTAGCCTATCCCTTCTCCAACAGATCTTCCCGATCCAGGAATCGAACTGGGGTCTCCTGCATTGCAGGCAGATTCTTTACCGACTGAGCTATGAGGGAAGCCCCATTAGTAGCTTAAAGACTATTTATAATTTTAAAATATTTAACAGAAACAAATAAAAATACCTGGGACATGCCTTGTGGAACTGGTAAATTTGCAGATTGAGACATCACAGGCTGCGTTAATGACTGACCAACAGTCTGGGAATTTATAGACTAGAAGCAAAATAAAAAATAACACTGGGTGACAATCATTTCCATACATGAATACTCCCACCAGAAATATCACCATGGCATCTTTATAACTGAATTACAGCTTTCAGATGAGCCTCATACATTTTTAGATGAGCACAGGCCTGTCTCTCCCTCTAAACTGGAAATGCTTGCTTCCTATTTATCTTTTTATCTTTCAAGGCATCTGTCACAGTATCTTGCATGGGCTCTCAATAAGAGTTACCTGGACTTTACTGAAAGTGATTGGTGTTTGAAATTAGATATAAAATGGCTCTAAATTATCAGCTTCCCATAATTAAAAAAAAAAAATCTAACATTTTATCTGAAAAATAATCAAAAGGACTTGTATTAACTACTACTTCACAAAAAAATGAAGACCTTGAGTAAGTGTTGTATATCAACAACTATTTTAAATTTCATAGAAAGGGATAATGAATAAATGAATTTATCAATATTTAGATGATCCCCCCACCCCTTTTAATAAATCTTTATTCAGAAAAATACTATCTGAAGAGTTTACCTGACTACTAAATGATGACCTCCTTTGTGCCACCTTTTCATGAGCTGGTAAATGTTGTCTGGGAGGAGTGCTAGTATCTGTTGGGATCTTTGTTGGTGTAGCTAAGGTTGGTCAACAGAAACAGAAGGGCATTAGTACTTTAAAAATACAATTTTCAAAGATCAATCTCAAAATGCATTCCGGTGAATAAAAGCGATCTGTAAAAGAGTTGTTTTTCTAAATTATTCAGTAAAAGTGAAGTCTATGACAACAAGATGATTTATTTTAATTACCTCTTTTTTAAGGATAAAGAAAATATCTGAAATAGGAAAATTTCAAATATAAAACGGTTGCTACCCCTACAATTCTATAATAGAAAAAACCAATAAACTTAATTTTAAAAATGGCCTAAGGACTTGAATATTTCCTCAAATAAGACACAGAGATGGCCAGCCAATATGTGAAATAATACTCAATATTCCACTGAACATCAGGGAAAAGGAAATCAAAACCACAATGAGATATCACCTCTACCTCTAAAGAACAGTTACTATCAAAAAATCACATTGTAAATCAACTAAAAGAAAAAACCTTATAAAATGTTAAAAAAAAAATCTAAAGACAAGTGTTGGTGTGAAGTTCTGGAAACCTTGCACACTGTTGATGGGGATGGGAAATGATACAGATACTGTGGAAACAATATGGCCGTTTTTCAAAAAAATTAAGATTAGAACTACCATATATGAACTAGAAATCCCACTTCTGAGTATTTATCAAAAAAAATTGAAGTCAGCATCTTAAAGAGATATTAGCATTCCAATGTTCACTGCAGTACCATTCACAATAGCCAAGGTATGGAGACAATCTAAATATGTGTTGACAGGTGAAAGGATTAATAAAATGTGATATATACATACAATGAAATACTACTATTTATCCCAAAAAAGGAAGGACATTCTACAATATGTTACATGAATGAAACTTTAGGCCATTATGCTAAGTGAAATAGGCAATGACAGAAAAAACAAGTATCTCATAATTGATATGAGGTTATTTAAAATAGTCAAACTCATTGAAACAAACAGCACAATGGTGACTGCCAAGGGCGGAGGGCAGGAAATGGGGAGTTATTAATTAGTGGGCATAAAGTTTCAGATAAGCATAATGAATAAACTCTGGAGATCTGCAGTAAAATATCATACCTCTAGTCAACAATAATATATCATACACTTAAAGGATTTCATTTTAATTCTTACAACAGTAAAATAAATTTTTTTCTTTAAAAAGAAAGAAAGAGCTATAATAAGGACATTTTCCCCCCTAAAATCTCAGATATTCTATGTTTAACCACTTTGATGTTCCACTCATCATGTAGATGTTGAGTAGTTCAAACAAGTCCCTTTTTCATTATACACAGTTTTAGTACTCTGAGAAATGAAAGTGCTAGATTCTTTTTAAAAAATTTAAAAGGGTATTAATTTAATGACAATTATGTGTGTCTTCATAAAGACAAAATACCCAGAAAACACTTTCTAAAAAGCAAACTAAGAACACTTACAGGTTCTATCAATAAAAAAGGAATTACTGTAATAGTTTTGCTTTCTTTCTGGGGGATGATTAAAAATACCAATACCAACATTACTGCCTACATATTCTACAGGTTACTTTATAAGTTAATTCTTTGCTAAATGTGAGCAATGTGCCTCTTGCTCACTGAAAAAGAAATGTATTTCAGAAATGTAAACACTTATCATTTGAAAGTGGCAGCTGATGAAAAATGCTGGTAACAATAATGCAAACAATTTAGAAGGACATCTTTAAAGGATGTCTGCTTTCAAGCTGGGGTACTCACAGGAAGGGTCCGAGACTGCTGTGTGAGATGATTTTCTTGAACTCCGGGAAGAAGCAGAAGGAGTTGGGCTGTGATCAAACCTTTCCAACGCTTCCTTGAGACTAACTGTATTTATACGATTATCAGACCCAGAATCTTGGCTCTAAGGAGACAAGAGTAAAGTAAATGCCTTCTGTGGTTCAGTTCAGAGATCCCAAATTAGCATATGCTTGCTAATTTCCCCTCCCCAAAATCAGTTTTCACCCATAACAAGACAAGTGTACCTGTGTAATAACTAGGTAAAGAAATGAAAATTTATTTTTTTATAGCCAGAAAGTTTTGGTTTCCTTCTCTATTGAAAGAAACAACAGATGCAAAGGAATAAAGCTGGACTATTATCTTACAGCATATATAGAAGTTAACGCAAAATGGATCAAAGATCTAAACATGAGAACTAAAACCACAAAACTTTTAGGGAAGAAAGGGGGAAAGCTTTAATAACACTGCACTGGGCAATGACTTCTTGGATATGACACTAAAGCACAGGGAACAGTAGTGCATCAAAGGACCCTATAAACAAAGTGGAAAGGCACCAAGGAATGGGAGAAAACATTTGTAAGTCATTTATTTGATAAAGAATTAATACCCAGAATATATAAAGAGCTCCTACCACTCAAAAAAAAAAAAAAAACCCAAAAAACCCAATTACAAAATGGGCAAAAGTCTTGCATAGAGATTTCTTCCAAGAAGATATTTAAATGGTCAATAAACACATGAAAAGATACTTAATATCAGTAATCATTAGGGAAGTGCCCATCAAAACCAAGAAATACCACTTTAAATCTATCAAGATGGCTATTACCAAAAAAATTAGAAAATCACGAGCGCTGGTAAGGACATGAAGACACCAGCACCCTTGTGCAGTGCCAGGGGGTGAGGGTGCTCAGCTGCTCAGTCACGTCCAGCTCTCTGCGACCCTACGGACTGCAGCCCACCAGGCTCCTCTGCCCATGGGGTTCTCCAGGCAAGAACACAGGAGGCGGCTGCCATGTCCTCCTCCAGGGGACCTTCCAGACCCAGGGACTGAACTCACATCCCCCGTGTCTTCTGCACCGGCAGGTGGGTTCTCCACCACTGAGCCACCTGGGGGCCTGATAAGACTGTATAAACAGTAGAGCTCCTATGGAAAAGTGTGACAGCTCCTCAAAAAACTAAACACAGAATTACTATATGATCCAACAACTTCATTTCTGGGTATATGCTCAAAAGAATTAAAAGCAGGGAGTCAAATGTGTATTTGTAAGCCATGTTCCTAGAAGCATTAACCACAAGTAGTCAAAAAGATAGATGCAACTCAAGTGTCTATCGATGGATGGATGAATAAACAAACTGTGGTATATATATACAATGCAATACTGCTTAATTTCAAAAAGAAACTCTGACACATTACAATATAGATGAACCTTGAGAACATTCAGTTTAGTTGCTCAGTCGTGTCTGACTCTTTGTGACACCATAAATCGCAGCACGCCAGGCCTCCCTGTCCATCACCAACTCCTGGAGTTTACCCAGACTCATGTCCATCGAGTCGGTGATGCCATCCAGCCATCTCATCCTCTGTTGTCCCCTTCTCCTCCTGCCCCCAATGCTTCCCAGCAGTAGAGTCTTTTCCAATGAGTCAACTCTTCACATGAGGTGGCCAAAGTATTGGAGTTTCAGCTTCAGCATCAGTCCTTACACTGAACACCCAGGACTGATCTCCTTTAGGATGGACTGGTTGGATCTCCTTGCAGTCCAAGGGACTCTCAAGAGTCTTCTCCAACACCGCAGTTCAAAAGCATCACTTCTTCAGCACTCAGCTTTCTTCACAGTCCAACTCTCACATCCATACATGGCCACTGGAAAACCCATAGCCTTGACCAGATGAACCATTGTTGGCAAAGTAATGTCTCTGCTTTTTAATGTGCTATCCAGGTTGGTCTTAACTTTCCTTCCAAGGAGTAAGCATCATTTAATTTCATGGCTGCAATCACCAACTGCAGTGATTTTGGAGCCTCCAAAAATAAAGCCTGACACTGTTTCCCCATCTATTTCCCATGAAGTGATGGGACCAGATGCTATGATCTTAGTTTTCTGAATGTTGAACTTTAAGCCAACTTTTTCACTCTCCTCCTTCACTTTCATCAAGAGGCTTTTAAGTTCCTCTTCACTTTCTGCCATAAGGGTGGTGTCATCTGCATATCTGAGGTTATTGATATTTTTCCTGGCAATCTTGATTCTAGCTTGTGCTTCTTCCAGCCCAGCGTTTCTCATGATGTACTCTGCATATAAGTTAAATAAGCACGGTGACAATATACAGCCTTGACATACTCCTTTTCCTATTTGGAACCAGTCTGTTGTTCCATGTCCAGTTCTAACTGTTGCTTCCTGATCTGCATACAGGTTTCTCAAGAGACAGGTCAGATAGTCTGGTATTCCCATCTCTTGAAGAATTTTCCACAGTTTATTGTGATCCACACAGTCGAAGGCTTTGGCATAGTCAATAAAGCAGAAATAGATGTTTTTCTGGAACTCTCTTGCTTTTTTGATGATTCAGCAGATGTTGGCAGTTTGATCTCTGGTTCCTCTGCCTTTTCTAAAACCAGCTTGAACATCTGGAAGTTCATGGTTCACGTATTGCTGAAGCCTGGCTTGGAGAATTTTGAGCATTACTTTACTAGCGTGTGAAATGAGTGCAATTGTGCAGTAGTTTGAGCATTCTTTGGCATTGCCTTTCTTTGGGACTGGAATGAAAACTGACCTTTTCCAGTCCCATGGCCACTGCTGAGTTTTCCACATTTGCTGACATATTGAGTGCAGCACTTTCACAGCATCATCTTTCAGGATTTGAAATAGCTCAACTGGAATTCCATCACCTCCACTAGCTTTGTTCGTAGTGATGCTTTCTAAGGCCCACGTGACTTCACATTCCAGGATGTCTGGCTCTAGGTAAGTGTGAGTGTATCACACCATTGTGATTATCTGGCTCGTGAAAATCTTTTTTGTGCAGTTCTTCTGTGTATTCTTGCCACCTCTTCTTAATATCTTCTGTTTTTGTTAGGTCCATACCATTTCTGATCTTTATTGAGCCCATCTTTGCATGAAATGTTCACTTGGTATCTCTAATTTTCTTGAAGAGCTTTCTAGTCTTTCCTTTTATTTTTTTCCCATTTATTTTTATTAGTTGGAGGCTAATTACTTTACAATATTGTAGTGGTTTTTGACATACATTGACATGAATCAGCCATGGATTTACATGTATTCCCCATCCCGATCCCCCCTCCCACCTTCCTCTCCACCCAATCCCTCTGGGTCTTCCCAGTGCACCAGCCCTGAGCACTTTTCTCATGCATCCAACCTGGGCTGGTGATCTGTTACACCCTTGATAATATACATGTTTAGATGCCGTTCTCTCAAAACATCCCACCCTCGCCTTCTCCCACAGAGTCCAAAAGTTTGTTCTGTACATCTGTGTCTCTTTTTCTGTTTTGCATATAGGGTTATCATTACCATCTTTCTAAATTCCATATATATGCGTTAGTATACTGTATTGGTGTTTATCTTTCTGGCTTACTTCACTCTGTATAATGGGCTCCAGTTTCATCCATCTCATTAGAACTGATTCAAATGAATTCTTTTTAATGGCTGAGTAATATTCCATGGTGTATATGTACCACAGCCTCCTTATCCATTCGTCTGCTGATGGGCATCTAGGTTGCTCCCATGTTCTGGCTATTATAAACAGTGCTGCAATGAACATTGGGGTGCACGTGTCTCTTTCAGATCTGGTTTCCTCGGTGTGTATGCCCAGGAGTGGGATTGCTGGGTCATATGGCAGTTCTATTTCCAGTTTTTTAAGAAATCTCCACACTGTTCTCCATGGCGGCTGTACTAGTTTGCATTCCCACCAACAGTGTAAGAGGGTTCCCTTTTCTCCACACCCTCTCCAGCATTTATTGCTTGTAGACTTTTGGATAGCACTAGTCTTTCCTATTCTGTTGTTCTCCTCTATTTCCTTGCATTTATCACTGAGGAAGGCTTTCTTATCTCTCCTTGCTCTTCTTTGCAGCTCTGCATTCAAATAGGAATATCTTTCCTTTTCTCCTTTGATTTTTGCTTCTCTTCTCTTCGCAGCTATTTTTAAGGCCTCCACAGGCCATTTTGCTTTTTTGCATTTCTTTTCCATGGGGATGGTCTTGATCCCTCTCTGTACAATGTCACAAACCTCCGTCCATAGTTCATCAGGAACTCCGCCTATCAGATCTAGTCCCTTAAATCTATTTCTCACTTCTACTGTATAATCATAAGGGATTTGATTTAGGTCATACCTGAATGGTCTAGTGGCTTTCCCTACTTTCTTCAATTTAAGTCTGAATTTGGCAATAAGGAGTTCATGATCTGAGCCACAGTCAGCTCCCAGTCTTGTTTTTGCTGACTGTAGAGAGCGTCTCCATCTTCAGCTCCAAAGAATATAATCAATGTGATTTTGGTGTTGACCATCTGGTGATGTCCATGTGTAGTCTTCTCTTGTGTTGTTGGAAGAGGGTGTTTGCTATGACCAGTGCGTTCTCTTGGCAAAACTCTATTAGCCTTTACCCTGCTTCATTCTGTACTCCAAGGCCAGATTTGCCTGTTACTCCAGGTGTTTCCTGACTTGCTACTTTTGCATTCCAGTCCCCTCTAATGAAAAGGACATCTTTTTTGGGTGTTAGTTCTAAAAGGTCTTGTAGGTCTTCATAGAACCATTCAACTTCAGCTTCTTCAGCATTACTGGTTGAGGCATAGGATTGGATTATCGTGATATTGAATGGTTTACCTTGGAAACGAACAGAGATCATTCTGTCATTTTTGAGATTGCATCCAACTACTGCATTTTGGGTTCTTCTGTTGACCATGATGGCTACTCCATTTCTTCTAAGGGATTCCTGCCCACAGTAGTAGACATAATGGGTCATCTGAGTTATATTTACCCATTCCAGTCCATCTTAGTTTGTTGCTTCCTAGAATGTCGACGTTCACTCTCGCCATCTCCTGTTTGACCACTTCCAATTTGCCTTGATTCATGGACCTAACATTCCAGGTTCCTATGCAATACTGCTCTTTACAGCATCGGACCTTGCTTGTATCACCAGTCACATCCACAACTGGGTATTGTTTTTGCTTTGGCTCCATCCCTTCATTCTTTCTGGAGTTATTTCTCCACTGATCTCCAGTAGCATATTAGGCACCTACCGACCTGGGGAGTTCATCTTTCAGTGTCCTAACTTTTTGCCTTTTCATAATGTTCATGGGGTTCTCAAGGTAAGAATACTGAAGTGGCTTGCCATTCCCTTCTCCAGTGGACCACATTGTCAGACCTCTCCACCATAACCCATCCGTCTTGGCTGTCCCCACACAGCATGGCTTAGTTTCATTGAGTTAGACAAGGTGCTAAGTGAAATAAGTCAATCACATGACAAATACTGTATGCTTCCACTTATAGGAGGTGCCTATAGGAATCAAAGTCACAGTCAGAAGTGGACTGGTGGCTGCCTGGGGTTAGAGAGGGGGGAATGGGGAGTTGCTGTTCAACGGGTATGGAATTTCAGTTCGGAAAGATGAAAACATTTTGGTGATGGATGGTGGTAATGCTTACACAACACTGTGAATGTACTTAACACCACTGAATTTAAAACTGGTTGAGATGGTAAATTTTGTTACATATATTTCACATCAGAAAAAAGAAAAGAACAACCAACAGACACTTTAGTTTATAAAGGCACTGTAAGGATCTTTGGAACTCAGCATTTGACTGCTCAAAATCACCTTCTTCACACCAACTCTGACCTTCTCCAGAATTCAATATCTATATTGGTGATTCGTGCAATATCCTGTCCTGGCCTCTCAGCTTTCTAGGAACTCTTCATTGCCAATAACTTCTTCGCTATTCTACCTGATTCAATCTCTACTCTTCGTTACCAGATTACTGTAGTGCCTCTAAAAACACAAAGTTAAAATCCAACTTTAAACCACACTCCCCTGTCTGAGCTTTCCAGTTCACTTGTTCCTTTGGAGACAATTACAGTCAACCTAAAATGATCGCCAATCTAAAATGATACCTAACACTAAGCAGAAACATTACGTTTTCTAGTGGGCTCCTTTTCCTACTCTCCACAGTTATTCCATACTTTCCAAAAGTTCTTAAACCTCTTTCTCCCTCTCTCTGCACAGAGAGCTCTGTCTTATACAGATGAAAACACCTGCCACCACCGTATGTGCAACTCTGCCTATTAGCATGCTGTGCCCTGCTTAGTCACGCAGTCATTGCAATTCTGTGACCCTGTGGGCTGTAGCCCGCCAGTCTCCTCTCCACGGGATTTCCCAGGCAAGAATAGTGGAGTAGGTAGCCATTTCCTTCTCCAGGGGATCTTCCCAACTCAGGAATCGAACTGGGGTCTCCTGCATTGCAGGCGGAGTCTTTACCAGCTGAGCTACAAGGGAAGCCCACCTATTAACATACCAGGTATATAAATATACCCATCTTCTGTTTGCTCATTATAGTGGAGCGAAGTGCCAAAGAGAGGGTCCGTCAAAGAACCTCCACATACAACAGTGAATTAAGCAACAATACTCGGTTCCCTATTTCAGGGAAGCTACATAGAAGGTGATGTATGTGTATACACAGATATAAATAAATATGATTTCAAAATCACTACTATCACAAAAGGAAAAAAAGGGTTATGTGACACAATGCCCCCTGTCCTGCACTCTAATCCCTCTCCACATCCTGTTTTGTCTCCATCTCCCACCCTCCCCAGCTCCTGAAACCCTTCTGCCTGCCTTCAGTTTCCCTAAGCAGCCAAAGCTCTATTCTCAGCCTCACTTATTAACACTCCTTCATTGGCATCCTCTAACTAAAACCCAGACCCCCCCCCCCACCCCTACCCCCGAACGATGCCACTTTCCTTGTAAGTCTCTTAGGCAGTGGGAGTTTCCTTTCTCTCAACCTTCAGACCTCTGCTCTGGAGGTAGAACAGAAGTCCTCCTACTGCTCTGGCCTGAACATTTTCCCTTCCACCTTTCCCAAAACTCACAGCTATGAACGCCACATTATCACACCATGGCACTCACTATCTCTCCTCGCTGCAGTCTCTTGCTCACCTTGCGTTACTCCTCACTAAGTAGCTGAATTAAAGTTTCTCTACTCCTGGCTCAGTACTGTCCTTCCTGATTTTTTTTAACTGGAGTACTGATGATTTACAACATTGTGCTAATTTCTGCTTACAGCAAAGTGATTTCTGTATATATATCTATCCTTTTTCGAATTCTTTTCCCATAGATTATGACAGAGTATTGGGTAGAGTTTTCCGTGCTCTACAGTAGGTCCTTGTTGATTATCTGTCTTATATATAATACTGTGAAAGTGAAAGTGAAGTCGCTCAGTTGTGTCCAACTTTTGTGACCCCATGGGCTGCAGCCTACCAGGCTTCTCCGTCCATGGGATTTTCCAGGCAAGAATACTGGAGTGGGTTGCCATTTCCTTCTCCAGGAGATCTTCCTGACCCAGGGACTGAACCCAGGTCTCCCGCATTGCAGGCAGACGCTTTACCTTCTGAGCCACCAAGGAAGTCCATAGAATACTGTGCATATATGTTAATCCCAACGCCCTGATTTATTCCCCCACCCATCTTTCCCCTTCAGTGACCACAAGTCTGTTCTCTAAGTCTGAGAGACTATTTGTTTTGTAAATAAGTTGATCTGTATCATTTTTAGATTGCACGTATAAGCAATATGATACTTTCTCTCACTTCACTTAGTATGACAATCTCTAGGACCATCCATGTTGCTGCCTTCTTTTTTATGGCTAAGTAATATATGTACCACAACTTCTTCATCCATTCATCTGTATCGATGGACACTTAGGGTGCTACCATATCCTGAATATTGTAAATAGTGCTGCAAGTGAACACTGGGGTGCATGTATCCTTTCAAATTATGGTTTCTGCAGATATATGCCTAGGAGTGGGATTGCTGGATCATACGGGAGCTCTATTTTTTGTTTGTTGAGGAACCTCCCACACTGTTCTCCGTAGCGGTGGTGCCTACTTACATTCCCACTAGAAGGGTAGGATGGCTCCCTCTTTTCCACATCCTCTTCAGCTGTTATTGATGGTCACTTTTTGATAACATTCTGACCAGTGTGAGGTGATACCCTCATTGTAGTTTTTATTTGCAATTCTCTAATGATGAGCGATGCTGAGCAATCTTCTCATGTGCCTTCTGGCCATCTGTATGTCTTCTTTAGAGAAATGTCTATTCAGATCTTCTGCCCATCTTTTGGTTGAGTCATTTGTTTTTTGATAATGAGCTTCATGAGCTATCTGCATATTTTGGAGATTAATCCCTTGTCAGTTGCTTCATTTGCCAGTGTTTTCTCCCATTCTATGGGCTGTCTTTGCATCCTGTTTATGGTTTCCTTTGCTGTACAAAAGCTTTTAAGTTTAATTAGGTCCCATTTATTTTTGTTTCAATTCCAAAAGACTGTAACAACTTTGTATGGGGACTAGACACACACTCACTTTGTAATGTATTTAAATGCTCAATCACTTAAAACTAATAAATTTTGCATCTTCCATATCTCAATTTAAGAATTGCCTTCCATGGCTCGACATGCTGAGAATATAGCAGCAAATAACACAGACAAGTTCTCTGCTCTCATGGGTCCCACATGAGAGAATTTTTCCAAAAAGACTATGATGGCTTAGAGGGAAAAGATCCATTATGTTTTAATGAAAGATATTTTCTGAGGAAAGCACTTATAATTTTATTGACCATATTTCTTACGCTATGGCGTATTTTAAATGGAAAGTTTATACCTCTTAACCCCCTTCACCTATTCTGCCCCGTCTAATACCCCCGTGCCTCATTTTGGCAATTGGCAGTTTGTTCTCTATGAGTCTGGTTTCCTTGTTCATTTGTTTTGTTTTTTAAATTCTACATACAAGTGAGATAATTTGTCTTTCTTTGACTTATTTCCCTTAGCATCATGCCCCTAAGATCCATCCATACTGTTACAAATAGCAATATTTCATCTTTTACGATTGAATGGTATTCTACCATTCAAGATGTATGTACCACATCTTTACTTAGGTTGTTTCTGTATCTTAGTTACTGTAAATAATCCTGCAGTGAACACAGGGATATATAAATCTTTACAGCTGTTTTTGTTTTCTTCAGGTAAATACTAAGAAGTGAAACTGTTAGATCATACTATTTTTAATTTCTTGAGGAACTTCCATACTATTTTCTGTAGTGACTGCACCAATTTACAATCCCACCAGCAGTGCATGAGGGTTCCCTTTTCTCCATATCCTTGCCAATAATTGCTACTTATTGCCTTTCTGATAACAGCCATTCTTACAGGTATGAAGTGATACCCTGTCGTGGCTTTCATATGCGTTTCAACCACTAAGTGAGCTTGAAAAGAGATTCTGCCTTGACTGAACCTGGAGATGACTGTGGCTCCACTGACACCTTGATTACAGGCTTGTGAGGGACCCTGGACTGAAACCTTGATTACAGACCCATGACCAATTCTGAAGCAGAGTGCCCAACTAAACTGTGTCTGGATTCCTGACTCACAGAAACTATTGAGATAATACATGTAGGTTATTTTACATCATTAAGTTTTGTTACACAGCAATAGGTAGCTAATACACTATATTTCTACCTGATATAATGAAAAGAGAAACCAGTGTTCACAATCTGACTATAACTTCCCAGTCGTGAGTCTTTAAGCTCAGTTTTAATATTTTCAAAGTGGGGATATATCCAGATAAGAATGTCTAAGAAATAAATGACATTTCATATTTCACACAAAAACCAGAGCCTAGCAGATTGTAATAAATGTTAGTTTAATTCTGAGATTACACGTCTCTCATACAATGATCTCGAAATAGCAGGCCCTTCAAATCTTTTTTAAAAACACATGAGCTTTTAAAATATTAAATTTAACATAAAAATAAATACTACAGTTATAAGTAAATGAAATATTTGAAAAACAATTTTTAAATAAATTACTGAGTCTTGTTACTCATTGAGAAGAAATAATTTTAAAAAACCTGTAGGGTACATACTTTGTCAGCAGCTGTCTCCGGAAGAGACTCTTCAATGCCAAGTTCTCGTCGTCTTTCGGCCCTAACTTCTGCATAACTACAAACGGAAAAAACAGAATTCCAGTGTTTGATCATTCATTTAAAACACTACAGAGGTGCAACAATTCAATGTTCATTATGTATCTCACTTGTTCATCACAAATGCCAGACTATTTTCTATGCACCAAAAAAACCCTAAAACATACATATATAGCACTATATATATATATATATGTACACACACACACACACACACACACACACAGTGTATCTGAATTCAAATTTCACTTTTTTACATATCTAAAAAGTCTAATGTACTACTATAAATGGTCCGTGACCACACAGGACCTAAATCAAGAGGAATTAAATAAAGGAACAGTATGCTTTATTGCCTCCAGCTCTTCTTTCACATGACTGACTGTGGCATACAAAAGACAGTTACAACACCTGCTCTAAACCATAACACTTACGTCAGAAATTATGTATCTTCATTTCTATATAATGCCTATAAGTAAATTTAATAATAAACTGAAAATATATATATGAAAAAATGGAGAAAAAAATCACTCTGTACTTCTTAATAAGTCATACATAAAACTACATTCCAGAATCATTATGAATGTTTCCATATTCAGAAATTCTATAAAAGAATTATTACCTTACTACGGTATGAGTACAAACAATAAACTCTGGCCTTGAATTCCACTGATGGTAAGTGATATAATAATGAGTCTGAAGCCAAATCCACTGCTGTCCTTTGGTCAGGAACCTATAGTAACAAGATTTGCCTTTTCCGTATTGCATTACTAAGAAGAAAAAAATATTTTTTGATTCATATTACTAGATTTTTACCCAAAGGTATCATTCACATTTATATCTATCGATCTATCTATCTATACACATCATAATTCTGGCTTTTCAATAACACAGTATATCAAATCTTCCAAAGCACCCAACTTACAACCTTTTATTGCTGATCGTAGGTATTTTTCATACACAATAAGTGTCCAAATACTTGAGAATACATTATTCACAACTGACCCTCTCCTGCTAAGATAAATTGAGGATAACAGCAGTAAGTAGTCACACCTGAGCTCTACTCCCCATGCCCTACCCCTCACCCTCTGCAAACAGAGCATCTTTTATTTTTTGGCTGCATTGGGTCTTCGCTGCTACATCCAAGCTTTCTCCAGTTTCGGGAGAGTTGAGGCTGTGCTGCGGTTGTGGTGCGCGGGCTTCTCACTGGAGTGCTTTCTCTCAACGCAGAGCACAGGCTCCAGCGTGTGGGCTTCCACAGCTGTGGTACACTGCCTTCGTTTCCCTGCAGCACGTGGGGTCTTCCCAGGCCAGGGACTTGGACCCGTGTCCTCTGCAGTGGCAGGTGGATTTTTAACCACTGGACCACCAGGAAGTCCAAGTATAGCATTTTTGAGGCATTTACTTCTAAACCTTAACTTACCAAAATCAGAAAAACTTAATTATTTTAAGTAGCTGATTTCCCAAAACAGTATTTTAAGCAGTATTTCTCAAAACATTCTCTGCAGATTGTAAGTTCAAAAGTCTTTTAGCAGATATTAAGCAAAAAATGGGTTCTGTGTTAAATTAACTTGGGAAAATTTGTTCTTCTCAAAGCCTTGAGTATGCTAATCTGTCAAGATTCTGGTGTTGGGAAGATGGAGATTGAGTAGGAACTCTTACCTAATTTTCTTTGACCATAAAATTCATCTTTAATAGACTGGTATTCAGTGGACAAAACCTTAAGACAGGCTGGACCAGAATCATGTTTGCTCTCTCTCCTCCAACCCATCACTATTCATAAGAAAATCAAAGTCTACATAATTGAAATTGCTGTCGAAAATTATCCAGCTAGTTAATAGAGATGTCAGATTTTTTTTTAATACATCATGGAGTCTAGTGCCCATATCACTTGAAGTGAAAAATATTTCTATTGTGATATTATATAACATGCTTTATTTTCATAGAGAGAAGTTTATAAACCAGCCTAAGACATGAAGGTACATTAAATAATCTAATAAAGCTTTAGAGGACACTCAAGATGGAAAGATTTGGGCAGGAGGATCAGAGAGGCAAATTCTGAAACAAAGAATGAACACACAGCATGTGGGAAAGGAGGAGGTCCAGACTCTGATCCTATCTCTGCCACCAATGTTTTTTGTTTTTTTAACTGGAGGCTAATTACTTGACAATATTGTGGTGGTTTCTGCCATACATCGGGATGAGTCGGCCACGGGTGTACGTGCACCCCTATCCTGAAGCCCCTCCCGCCTCCCTCCCCACCCCATCCCTCTGGGCTGTCCCAGCGCAGCAGCTGTGAGTGCCCTGCTTCATGCACTGAACCTGGCCTGTCATCCGTCTCACACATGGTAACAGACATGTCTCAGTGCTCTTCTCTCAAATCGTCCCACCCTCACCTTCTCCCACAGAAAGGTCTATTCTTCACATCTGTGTCTCTTTGCTGTCTTACATATAGGATCGTCATTACCATCTTTCTAAATTCCATATACATATGTTAATATACTGTATTGGTGTTTTTCTTTCTGACTTACTTCACTCTGTATAATAGGTTCCAGTTTCATCCACCTCATTAAACTGACTTGAATGCATTCTTTTTAATGGCTGAGTAATATTCCATTGTGTATAAGTACCACAGCTTTCTTATCCATTCATCTGCTGATGGACATCTAGGTTGCTTCCACGTCCTGGCTATTGTAAACAGTGCTGCAGTGAACACTGGGGTACACATGTCTCTTTCGATTCTGGTTTCCTCGGTGTGTATGCCCAACAGTGGGACTGCTAGGTTGTACACCAGTTCTATTTCCAGTTTTTTAAGGAGTCTCCACACTGTTCTCCATAGTGGCTGTACTAGTTTGCATTCCCACCAACAGTGTAAAAGGATTCCCTTTTCTCCACTCCCTCTCCAGCATTTATTGTTTGTCGACGTTTTGATGTCTGCCACCAATGTTATGGGACCGTAAGTAAATTAGTTAGACGTTAGGTGTCTCAGTTTACTTGTGGAGATAATAACAGTACCTACTTTCTATTATACAACTGTGATTATGAATAATGAAAATAATACATGTAAGTTGTTCAGAACAGGGCAAAATGAGATGATAACGTTCCTTCTGTTAATATAACAATGGCAGGTAACATTAATGAAGCACTCACTGAGTTTTCTAAAAGAGATTCTTTAAATGTGGCATTACCTCCTGTGCAGACTCACATGCCTGGAAATAAAAATTCATGAAATAGTGTTCTAATATTACAATTTTCAAAGTAATCTACTTCTCTTACTCTGGATATAGAACTTCTATACTTCAAAACAATGTTTATTAGATGCCATATTATAAAACTGTACTTACTACTACAGATTGAAATATGTTAAATGGGAGGAAGTTTAATTTAGACTTGATCTAGGATTCCTATTAGAAGTAGTTATGCATACAAAAGAAATCTTTCCAATAAATTTCAAACATACAAAAATGGTCTGTTTTACCACCTCCTATTAATATGATAGTTATTTACAGATTAAAAAAAGTATTACCACCCAAAGTATTAAAATCTACTTACAGTGCTCATGACATTTTGCCAAATTTTCTAGGTCATCCACATGATAGTAATCATAGCCTGATGTTCCCAGAACTTCAAATGGCAAATATCCTATTATGGGTGGTGCCCTAAATTACATACAAAACAATCAATATTATGACTTTTTCCATTAATAAAAAGTACTTAACTACAAACCAATTTTGGGAGGAACTTTATTTTTTAAATAATGGATAATGAGTTTGAGCATCCTGACTAGAAAAAGTTTGTCTTTGAAATCCAATAATTTCAAGAATTATAATGATTAATCTTTTTATAGAATTTAAGAATGGGAGTTACCTGTGATCTAGAAATAGAAACTTCCACTCTAAACTATGTCTAGATGTAAACTCTTCATTAGGTTCTTCAACAGTGCACATTTCCTACAAATAAATAATTAAAATTGAGAAATATTTTTCTGTGTACTCAGCAAATTCCTAAATATTGCTAGCTGTATAAGTCATTTTTAGCTAACTTTTCCCTAAACATTAAAAAAAAAAAAAAGCTTTTATTTCCTAGTACTAAGGAATGTGGCAATAAACACATGCAGGCTTCTGGGGGAGTATTTCTCAGTCCACACACTTCTGTATTCACTCACATGCCTATAAAATCTCATTCTAATCTCTCTCCTGAATTATAGTTCTATATTTCTGTCTGCATGTTCCCACGTACCACAAACTCCACATGTCCTAAAATTAACCAACTATTTTAATCCTCATATCCAGTTACATAATGTTCCATCTCATTAATGGAGGCATACCTGTACTGTGCCATTAAGTCTAAAATCTAATAGTCACGATGCATTCATTTTCACCTTTCACCATCTAAATGGCCACGACTAAATCCTTTCAGTTTCACCCTCTAAGTTTTTTTTTTTTTAATCTAGTCAATCCCATCCATCTTCAGGGTCTTAGTTTAGACTCTAGTTGCCACCATTGGCTCACATTATTGCAAAGTATTCCAAACAAGTTTCCTTGTCCTTCAACTCATCTTCTATTCTGGCCACAATGACTGTATAATTTCCCTGACAGAAAATCTTAATGGCTGCTCATTCCATTGGGACAAAATCTAAACAAGGAGAAACAAACAACAAAGAAAGAAACATATCACTGCCAGCATCTGCTTACTTTTCTAATCTCATCTCTCAACATCCCTACCCTCCCTCCACTCACAGTAACCCCAGACTCTAGTCATACTCAACAATGTATTCCAACCTGCCCTGTTCTTGAATGACCTTCTGCAGCACAATGTAGTGATTAAGAGTTTGGGTTTAGAAAGAAAAGGAATTACAATCAATCTCAGTTCTACTACTTAACAGCTGTGACTCTGAGTAAGTAACTTAACTTCCCTAAGCCACAGTTTCCTTAGATATAAAATGGTGATCATACCACCATTTGTAAGTATTAAATTAGATAATGCATGTAAACAGCATGTGGTAAGCATGCAAAAAGCATGTTACCACTGCCATTATTTCCTATGATCAAAACAAGTCGAGTCAGACTTGTTTAAGATCCTCTAACTGCTAATTCAGTACTTTACCTTATGGTATTTCCCTAAATTTAAAATCTTAGCCTGTCTTATTTTCAGCCACTTTCCAGTGACTGAAGTCTCATTTTCTGACTTTCCTACTAATCATCTACTTCCTGGACCCAGGATATAAAAACAAAATTGAATTTAATTTTATTTAATTGAATTTTAAAATTGAAAAGGTAAATTAAATGTAACAAAAAGGTCACCTGTGTATTTCAAAAGAAAATTTCAAAGGCAATCTTTGGCCTTTCCCCTTTAATGTATTTGTGAACTATACAACAAAAGCACCTTAAAATTTTGCACAAAAGCAGGACAATGGTGATATATAACCATTGGTTAACAGCCAAAAACTTCACAAACCCAAATGAAATTTTTGGCCAACGCAACACAAGGTATATTATCAAAAAATTAGTTCTATAATTTGATGAGTGCTTTGATAACCCATTATTTGCTTCAAAAATATGATGATCATACATGTTTAATGACTCATGGCCATTACTACTTTAATGTTCACATTAAGTATCTGGAAACAATAAAAAAAGAAAAAACAGATAGGTCCCATAATATGAAGTGAAACCCCTCTGGGAAACAGAAACATACCTTGATGAACTGAGGTGTAGCTAATCTGACAGTAGCTACAAAACAAACTCTATCTTCATAAGAAGGCCTATGTGTGCGTTGTATTGTTCCTTCAAAACCATTGTGTGCTGAAGTGGATACTAAAGCAATAAGGAAATAAATATCATCAGTTACTCCAGTAAAAATCTAGTTTTTACTGATACTCAAACATTTGTCTCTAAGAGCTTAAAAGAATACCAAGTGAAAATACATTGTAAGAGAAGGACTTTAACTTACCACTGTTTAAAGATTTGAAATTTCCTATAAATTTCACATATTCATAAGTAGATGGCTCCTTTGGGTCTATAGTTCCTCGAAGCATATGACAACAAAATTCTAACTGATTTTTTGCTGAAATAAGAGAAAAAATATAATGTATTTTGTGATTTATCATCAAGAGGCCACACAAAGTAAGATTCTAACAGCTGTGTAAGTTTACAATTACTATTTTCTCATACAGAGGTCCTCAACGACATTGTGTTTAGTCCATAAAAGCAGAGTCTCTTTAGGAGATGATCTCACGTTGTCCTTAATAAGGAAGACAGATCTTCTGATACAAGTAACTCCATGTTCCTCCATTTTTATTTGTCCTTCCTTGTCATTCATCACTCTAATCTCAAAGAAAGGTCTTGCTTCCTATTCCAATTTTTCTGTCTCTACTTTAAACAGTCTTCCCCATCTTCCTTCTCCAGGACCACCAGAACCATCCGTTCCTTTAGCATTCACACACGTTCTTCTCTGGGTCCTTACTGCCTACGTTTACATTTACTCGGGTCTTTATTCATGCTATTCTTTTGGTAACACAGACCCCTTTCCTTCTCATCACATGCTCTAGTTTCCATGTGCTCACCTTCCTTAACTTCATGTATTACAGCTTTTGCCCTCACACTTTTCCAGAAAACACTCTTCATTGTTTCTACCTCTTCTTAAAACTCACGTGTTTTCACTCCCATAGCACGAAACTTACCTTCCTGCCTTGCTGACTATTTCTATCCCTTCTATTAATCAGTCAACAAGCTACAGACATTCACAAAAGTTCCTCTGGTTGTAATCTATTTTGCTTTACAAACTTACCAGCATGGACAAACTTATTTACTCCTAAATCTCTCATACCAATTTTAACATTTTATGTAAGACCAAGTCTCATATCACTATTTTTCAGGACATCTGTACCTGACTGCTCCATCAGTAACTTAAATTCAAAATACTTGAAAGTGAATTTTTCCTTCTTTCTTCCTAAGGCAGCTGTCGTTCCCCTCTGTCCTATCTCCTTAGGTAGAAATCATTCAATTTGTTCTCTCTTTGTATCACCAGCTCAAAAACTAAGTCTGTAACCAGGATCTGCTGTTTATTACACCAAGAACCTCTCATGAGTCATTTTTTCCACATGAGCAGCCAGTACCACCATTTTGGTACCGATGTAAATGACCCTGCATCTAGGTAACTGCAAAAATGTATTCTCTATGCCTCTACACTCCTGCCACTCAAGACTCAGCCTTGCCTACTACTCTTAGATTAGTATTATTTTCATCATTATTATTTCAGCACTTAAGGACTAATAACACCTCTCCTTCACTTACAGTATCCAACCCAAACTCTCCTGTTATTATTATCAATGGCTTTATCACTAAACTTTGCAGGTTCAAACTCTTTACCTTCTGCCTAAAACCTTCCCCACTGACAATCTCTAACTGTTCTGACACCAGTGCCTAACACCAAGTCCTGAGTTCACCTCAACACTCATAGGCATGCTTTCTTCTCCATCCTTACTCCTACTGCTGTCCTTTTAATCTCAAGTCTAGTCATTTTTCCAAATTTTTCCACCAGAGAGATTTTCTTTTTGAACCACAAAACCACACAAATCCCCTTTTTGCTGGCTTGTCACTAAGTAAAAAACAAAAGCCAAACTGTTAAGGATGAAATATTAGGCTTTATCTCCTTCTCTAGACACAAACACATCACTTGTACTACCTTACCTTCATTATTATACAAATGACCTATTTGGAGAATCCTGAATTTTCCTAGCAATTTCCCCTCTGTTTTAAATCATGTTCATTCCTTTCGCATGAAACATCCTTTTCATCTGTGGAAATAACTTTATTTTGTATATCAGTCCATGGGGTCACAAAGAGTGGGATGCGACTGAACTGAACTGACTTCAAATACTGTGGTTTACAGGCGTATAACTGGCTTCTGCATCATTATATCCAACCCAAATCTTTCTCCTAGATGAAAGACTAGAGTAGTCCCTTAGTCGTGTCATAAAAATTTGGTTTTCTAACAATTATAAATAGGCTTCAAATGTATTCTCCTGGTCTCTTAACTCTTCTCAACTTCTTCTGAAAGGCTATCTATTCTTATCAAAAACATACATTCACACATACTTACGTCTGTGTATGTGTATCTCAACTGTTGAACAGTTAGTGTTCTACATAATTGAAGATTCAAAATATTAAGAACCTTTAAAATGATTGTCAGCTTCCCTTATAGCTCAGTCAGTAAAGAATTTGCCTGCAATGCAGGAGACCTGGGTTCAACCCCTGGGTCAGGAAGATCCCCTGGAGAAGGAAATGGCAACCCACTCTGGTATTTTTGCCTGGAGAATCCCATGGACAGAGGAGCCTGGTGGGCTATGGTTCATGGGGTTGCAAGAGTAGGATACGACTTAGCAACTAAACCATCACCACTATAAGAAAAATCAAAATTTAAAAGCCATGAAAACAGTAGTTAAAGACAACATCTAGTAGCTAATGGCCAAATGCAGAGCTGTCATGACTTTAGACTTTACACGGGATTATTTATTCAAGAAAACGAGGGGTGGGAGGGGAGTTCCAGAGTGAGGGGACATATGTATACTTATGGATGATTCACACTGCTGTGTGGCAGAAGCCAACACAACGTCGTAAACAACTGTCGTCCAGTTTAAAAAGAAAAAAAAAACTAAAACAAAGCAAGGTATTCTGGTCAATGAATCTAGGAGGAAAGTCAGATTACACAGCAGTATTTCATACTCATGAAAGGCAGCGACTGTATTTCCCGATTCTGGGCGTTTCTGTGACTCAGCACAAGTGTCCGGTACACTGCTGCTCTGCTGTTCACTCGCCACGTCACGTCCGACTCCTGTGCGACCCCATGGACTGTACACGCCAGGCTCCTGTGTCCATGGGATCTCCCAGGCAAGAACACTGGAGTGGGTTGCCATTTCCTTCTCCACAGGGTCTTCCCAACCCAGGGATCAAACCTGCATCTCTGCATTGGCAGGGGGATTCCCATCTGGCACATTAGACGTATCCAATAAATTATTTTTAATTCTGCTTAATAGAGCACAAAATTTCTTTAAGTAATTTTATAAAAAACATGCTTTGCCTCATAGTTTCAGTGTTCAACTGGTTAGTGATGGTGAAAATAAAAACCCTTAATTTTCTCTTACTACAGTAAGATTTTATATAAAAATTAATAAGAATATATTGCTGAGTTCCATTTTTCTGTAAAATAATTTTATGGCATATTATAACAGATGAGATTTCACTGTATTCTGGAATAGAGTTCAGACTTTTAACATGGTCATAATTCCATTATATTTTAATATTTAAAAAGGATCTAATAGGGGATTTCAAATGATGCTGTTAATTTGGTTAAACATATCTCTGTCACGAAATTACAAAAGTAAAGGATAATGCAACCAAATCCGTTTAACTTTTCACTTAAGAGGTACTACTTACATTTTAAATATTCAGGAGTTAATGAATCACTTTCCAGCAGATGGGTAGAGAGTATTTTATAAACCTCTGAATGTTCCCCTTCTGGGATAAAATTAAATATACTTTGATCCACAAGATCTGACTGAAAAAGAAATTTTTAAAAATTAAATAATTACAGTGATTCAAGAGAAATTTATTTTAAAAATATATAATCACTCTTAAACATCAGACAAGCATATGGTTGAGGTTTCATTATCCGTAAACAGTGACAAATATCAAGTTTCAGAGTACAACTCAAAAGACAAGATTGAGAAGGTGAAAAAAGTTTCCATGATCTCACGGTCTCTGATACTAGCATCATCAGATTCATGATCAATATGACCTTTGAAAGTTTGGTAAATTGTAAGTTTCACCACATGTGAACATGTAAAATATAACAGGACTAAGAAAGCTTATTAGAAGAATCTCTGGCTACCAGATGTAGCCTTACTATACATACCACCAACCTCTGGTGAGTGGGGTATACACTACAAATAAAGGACCACAGGATGAGCCACAGGCTACATGAAGAGAAGACTTGACTCTGATGTGAGTTCAATTGTCCAATGTGTCCTTTTTTTATTTCATCTTTTCCAGTCATCTAACCTATATCCCACTGTCAAAAAGTCATGCTTTAAGATAAACAACCTATTTGCAAAAAAGACGACTTAAATCCTGAGCATTATGATCTATGCTAAGATATGGTTTTAATCAACAGTAATCTGACCATCAAGAGGTTGCCTACAGTAGGACCTGGCTGTGGAATCCAAAGCAAACAGGACAGTGCCGGTCCATAAGAACCATGGACAATAAAACTTTAGTGAGATCACGTTATGTGTGCGTGCTAAGTTGCTTCAGTCATGTCTGACTCTGTGCAACCCCACGGACTGCAGCCTTGTCAGATCCCTCTGTCCATGAGATTTTCCAGGCAAGAATACAGGAGTGGGTTGCTATGCCCTTCTCTAGCAGATCTTCCCGACCCAGGGATCCAACCCACATCTCATGTCTCCTGAACTGGCAGGTGAGTTCTTTACCACTACATTTCCTGCCAAATCCCATCCAGTCTACTTGGTTTTGCTGCATTTCAAATTGCTCTGTGAAATCCTGGGGATAACGAAGTGATAGCTCCAAGACTATGGAAGGCAAGGGAGGTGAAAAGAAGCTGTGAAGACAGGGCTAAGGGTTCCACTAAGTAGTTTCACTTTTATTTCCTATTTCAAATATTTTAAAGATTGTTGAAAACAAAAAACCTCAAATAACAAACAACAGAGAGCCACTGAGGATGGTAAGAGGTGGGATAGGGGTGTTTACCACTCTCGTACAAGCCATATACACTTTCTTCAGTCCTTTCCCTAGCCTTCAAGGCACACCCCATGAAGTGAATCTTTCCCCTCTCTCACCACATGTTTGTACTCTTCTGTCTTTCACAGACCAGCTGAAACTACTTCCTTCAAAAATATGTCTTTTAACTGCATTGTTGTTGTTCGTTGTCCAGTTGTTAACTTATGTCCGACTCTTTGCAACCCCATGGACTGCAGCGTGCCAGGCTCCTCACTCCTCCACTATCTCCTAGAGTTTGTTCAAATTCATGTCCATTGAGTCAGTGATGCTATCTAACCATCTCATCCTCTGTCACCCCCTTCTCCTTTAACCTTCCATTTTTCCCAGCATCAGGGTCTTTTCAAATGAGTCAGCTCTACACATCAGGTGGTCAAAGTATTGGAGCTTCAGCTTTAGCATCAGTCCTTCCAATGAATATTCAGGATTGATTTCCTTTAGGATTGACTGGTTTGAGCTCCTTGCTGTCCAAGGGACTCTCAAGAGTCTTCTCAAGCACCTCAGTTTTCAAAGGCATCAATTCTTTGGTGCTGAGCCTCCTCTATGGTTCAACTCTCACATCTATATATAACTACTAGGAAAACCATGGCTTTGACTATTAATACATGGACCTTTGTCATCAAAGTGATGTTTCTGCTTTCTAATATGCTGTCTAGATTGTCATAGCTTTTCCAAGGAGCAAGACTTTTATTTCATGGCTATAGTCATTGTCTGCAGTGATTTTGGAACCCCCCAAAATAAAATCTATCCCTGCTTCCACTTTTTCCCCTTCTATTTGCCCAGAAGTGATGGGATCAGATGTCACAATCTTAATTTTTTAATGCTGAGTTTCAAGCCAGCTTTTTCACTCTCTTTCACTCTCATCAAGAGGTTCTTTACTTCCTCTTCATTTTCTGCCATTAGATTGGTATCCTGTATATATCTGAGGCTGTAGATATTTCTCCTGGTAATCTTGATTGTAGCTTGTGATTCACAGAGCTCGGCATTTTACATGATGTGCCCTGCATAAAAGTTAAATAAGCAGAATGACAGAATACAGCTGTGTCACACTCCTTCCCCAATTTTGAGCCAGTCTCTTGCTCCATGTCTGGTTCTAACTGTTGCTTCTTGACCGGCATACAGTTTTCTTGGGAAAGAGGTAAGGTGGTCTGGTACTCCCATCTCTTGGAGAATTTTTTCAGTTTGTTGTGATCCACAGGGTCAAAGGCTTTAGCATAGTCAATAAAGCAGAATTAGAGGTTTTCCTAGAACTCCTTGCTTTATTCATGACCCAACAAACGTTGGCAATTTGATCTCTGGTTCCTCTGACTCTTCTAGACCCAACGTGGAAGTTCTTGGTTCACATAACTGTTGAAGCCTAACTTGAAGGATTTTGAGCATAGCCTTGCTAGCATGTGAAATGAGCACACCTGCACAGGAGTTTAAACATCCTTTGACACTGGAGTGAAAACTGACCTTCCCAGCGCTCTGGCCACCGCTGAGCTTCCCAATCTGCTCAGGCACTGAGTGCAGCACCTAAAGCCCATCTTTCGGGACTTTAAGCAGCCGCGCTGGAATCCCGTCACCTCATCACCTTCATTCACAGCGATGTCTCCTAAGGCCCACGTGACTTCTCGCTTCAGGATGTCCAGGCTTAGGTGGATGGCCGCATCATCACGGTTATCTGGGTCAGGAAGACCTTTTTTATAGAGTTCTTCTGTGTGTTCTTGACATCTCTTAATCACCTCTGCTTCTGTTAGGTCCCTACCATTTCTGCCCTTTACTGTGCCCATCCTTGCATGAAATGTTAACCTTCGTACCTCCAGTTTCACTGAAGAGATCTCTGGTCTTTTCCTTTCTATTGTCTTCCTCTATTTCTTTTCATTGTTCATTAAAGAAGCCCTTTTTTATCCTTCCTTGCTCTTCTGTGAAACTATGCATTCAGGTGCACATACCTTTTCCTTTCTCCTTTGCCTTTCGCTTCTCTCCTTCCCTAAGCTATTTGTAAGGCCTCCTCAGACCGTGCCTTCCGCATTTCTTTTTCTTGGGGATGGTTTTGGTCACTGCCTCCTGTACCATGTTAGGAACTGCTGTCCATAGTTCTTCAGGCACTCTGTCTACCAGATCTAACCCCTTGAATATATTCATTGCCTCCACTGTATAATCATAATGGATCTGATTTAGGTTATATCTGAATGGCCTAGTGGTTATCCCTACCTTCCTCAATTCTTTTTGAGAGTCTCTCGGACAAAAAGGAGATGAAACCAGTCAATCCTAAAAGAAATCAACCCTGAATATTCACTAGAAAGATTGATGCTGAGGCTGAAGCTTCAATACTTTGGCCACCTGAAGCAAAGAGCCAACTCACTGGAAAAGACCCTGATGCTGGAAAAGACTGAGGGCAGGAGGAGAAGGGGGTATGAGATGACTGGATGGCATCATCGATATAATGCACATGAGTCTGAGCAAACTGGGAGATGGTGAAGGACCGGGAAGCCTAGCTTGCTGCAGTTCATGAGGTCACAAAGAGTTGCACACAACTTAGCAACTGAACAACCACAGAGAATGAAGTGGCTCAAAGTGGTAAAGGTGTTCAGTTGTGCATGTGTCTAGCAGTGAAAGTAAAATTCAGTGCTATAAATAACAGTACTGCTGTTATTAATAATAGGAACTTGGAATGTTAGGTCCAGGAATCAAGGTATATTGGAAGTGATCAAGCAGGAGAGGGCAAGAGTGAACACTGACATCTTAGCAATCAGTGAACTAAGATGGATGGAAACGGGTGAATTTAATTCAAATGACCATTATATCTACTAATGTGGGCAAGAATCCCTTAGAAGAAATGGAGCAGCCCTCACAGTCAACAAAAGGGTCCAAAATGCAGTACTTGGGTACAACCTCAAAACCGAAAGAATGATCTCAGTTCGTTTCCAAGGCAAACCATTCAACATCACAGTAATCTAAGTCTATGCCCCAATCACTGGTGCCAAAGAAGCTTAAGTTGATCAGTTCTATGAAGACCTACAACACCTTCTAGAACTAACACCAGAAAAAGATGTCCTTTTCATCACAGGGGATTGGAATGCAAAAGTAGGAAGTCAAGAGATATCTGGACTAACAGGGAAGTTTGGCCTTTGGAGTACAAAATGAAGCAGGGCAAAGGCTAACAGAGTTTTGTCAAGAGAATGTGCTAGTCACAGCAAAAAACCTTTTCCAACAACTCTACACATGGACATCACCAGATGGTCAATACCAAAATCACACTGATTATGTTCTTTGCAGCCAAGATGGAGAAGTTCTATACAGTCAGCAAAAACAAGACCTGGAGCTGACTGCGGCATGGATCATGAGCTCCTTATTGCAAAATTCAGGCTTAAATTGAAGAAAGCAGGGAAAGCCACTTGGACATTCAGATATGACCTAAGTCAAATCCCTTATGATTATACCATGGAAGTGATGAATAGATTCAAGGGATCAGATCTGGTAAGAGTGCCTGAAGAGCTATGGACAGAGTATAAGGAACAAAGGTTCTGGCCCTTTTGATAGGCTTTATTTACTTATTTCAAATACTTGTTTTCTTATTAAAAATATTTATTTGCAAATAGGGAAGTCCAAATAATCATATAACTACTTTAAAAATTCTAGATTTTTATTTCTGCATACTGCATTTACACCAAACATTGTACTGACTTTCTTAATACACACTTGTGTTTATATTTCAAAATTATCAAGTTAAGAAAACAGATAATGAAAGGCTCATAATACAGTGTTATTCCTGGACTCTGTCAGGCTATGTAACATGGTTAATCTTCCTCCCTGTATTACATGGTAACAAATTTAATACACTCTCTTCTCAGGAACACATTTAAGCAAGTGGGAAGAAAGCAATTTCGAATTGTAAAACTTTACAAATTTTAAGTTCCCCATAGAGAGACTTTATGTCTTGGCAGTTCCACTAAATTATTGCACAATTCTCTGGGGTTCATATGTGTTTTTAACAAACACAAAGGGGCTAGGCAAAAAATGTCTAAAATCCCTTCTTCCCTGGAGGTGGTATGACCCTATCGTTTTGTTGTAGAAAACCACTTCAGGAACAACAACAAAAAAAAATTCATAAATTTCCTTTCCTGATTAGTAGCCACAAATAGGTTAAAATTTACCTAAATTAGTTTCATAAGTACGACATGACAAAATTAAGAAAAAATTTTTTTCTAAGACCTACAGAATCAGACATGCAATTTTATAGCTAGATTTAAAATTTAAGTTAAAAACTGTTAAGTCATACTGACCACTGATTAAGATGGCAAATTTTAATTTCTCAACAGAACTTAATTATAAACACTAAAGCTTTATATTTAGAGATTTTCTAGTGTTCCTTCCCCCCAGGACAAGAATCAAGAATGTATTTCAGATAAAAAGGTATGTAAGTTAAAACAGAAAGAAAGGGACACCACTATTTAAATCTTTTGCTTAGTATCTGTTACAGCTTAATTATTAATGGCAGGCCAAAAGAGAAAAGTCATTTTTTTTTCCTTATTGGGTTTGATCCTAAACAAGTTTTATTTCATTTTATCAAAACATCCTTCTGGGGACTTCCTTGGTGGTCCAGTGGCTAGGAATCTACACTCCCAATGGAGGGGGCCCGGGTTCGATCCCTGGTCAGGGAACTAGATCCCATATGCCACAACTAAAAAATATCCTGCACACCACAAGAAAGATCCTAGGTGCTACAACTAAGACCCAGCTCAGCCAAAGAAACAATACAATACAGCAATGTCAGTGATGTGAGGAAAAGTATCCATCATAACTGGAGAGCAGTTTAAAAAAAAAAAAAAAAAAAGGAACCAAAAAACCTGTTTTACTGAAGAATACTATTAACTCAGTATGCAATGAAATGGGTCTGCTATATCGGCTGCAATCTCTTCTGCCCAAAAACTCACCTTCCAGTCTCTACATGCTTTGGGTGCCACCAACAGTTAAAAACACCCAGAAGATGTTACTAACAGAGGAAACTGGGTGGGCATATATGGGAACTCTGTACTATCGTCTTAATTTTTCTATAAATGTAAAAAATGTAAAAATAGCTCCAAAATTACTTTTTTTTAATCCAGAAGGCAATGAGAAGGTCATGAAGCTTTTCATTGAGGGGAGTATGTTAATTACCAAACACCTGGGTCCTAAATAGGTCTGTTGCACACATGTTTGTTATTTCAATATGCCATGAAATATTCCCTCATCCAGTGTGGCATTAGGAAGGAATCTTTAAAACATCTATTTCAAATAACCTACTCACTTTCTTATACTCAAGCAATAATTACTAAGTGCCTCACTAAAAAATTAGCCAGCATATGTTGATACAGAGATAAAGTCCATGCACTTAGAAAGCTTACCATTATTATCCAAATAAACAGAAAATTACAATTCACTGTAAGTGTCATGGTGGCAGCAGGTATAAGGTAACATGAGAACAGAGAGAAAAGGCATCTAATTCTCAGTGAAGTCCAGGAAAAGTGCCCAAGAAGCAGGCTTTTTAAAAGTCTGACCACACTGCAAATTACACCCTGATTATGACTAAAGATTATATAGTTTCTAAAAATACATAACTGAAAGAAAATCCAATAAAATTGTTTATAGGTTTAAAAGTCTATAATTATACATTTATTCAAATTACTCAACCTTATTTTATTACAGTAGATTTATAGTATGATTAGTTTTAGTTGTACAACATTAATGATTCAATAGTTTTAATAGATTACACTCCACTTATGTTACTGCAAAATAATGGCTATAGTTCAGTGCTCTAGACAATACATTCTTGTTGTTTGGCTTTTATACCTCGCATGGGTAATCCCCTCCCCCATCACACCTCTCTGCCATCCCCTTCCACACTGATAACTGCTAGTTTTTCTTCATCTGTGAGTCTGCTTCCGTTTTGCTATATTCATTCTTTTATTTATTATTCAATCTTATCTTAGTCATATCAATCCTACAAAGGACTTCTTTCCCTGGCCTTTCTTACTATGCAGATTTTTTCTTAAGGAAACAGTTGTCCAGAAAAATTCAGTCATCAGTCTCTCCTTTGGTCTGCCCCAGAGAAGCAACAAAGCCACGTCATTTTCTGTGTAACACGGAAATCAGCGAGTTATTTACCGCCTGGCTTTCAGAAACAAAGCGCCCTTAGAGAGCCTGGCCTCGTAAGCATGGAGCAAATTCTCTTCATAAAGCACACAACAGCAGCGTAATCAGAGGGACAGAGACACTGCTCCTCAACATCACTTTCAAGAATCTTTACAGAACAGATGATTTTGCATTACACATTTTCAAGAGATGGCATTTTAAGAGTAATTTATAAGTAACTTCAAAATATTTACATCCAAACCCCATTTTAAGCCAATAAAGTTAGGGGGTCCCCAGAGAAAGAGAACCAGAAATAGCTTTCTTGACATAAGAGAAGCCATTTTGTAATCTAAGCCTGGCCACAATGCTTGCCCTTGAAGGAATATTAGTAATGAATGATCTTAAGGGAACAAAGGAATACAGGAACAGAGAAAGGGCAGGCAAAGAACAGTGCAGTGAAAGCAGAGTTCCAGTTCCTCCTCTAAGGATATATATAAACATGCCCGAGTTCTACAGGAAACCAAGGCCCTCTGCTAGGTGGAGAATATGATGATGAGGTTGACCTTTTCTCACTTCAATCAAGTAAAGCTTAGATGCTGTTGACCTTTGCTCTACTTTATACTGAATTCTCCTCTGCTCAAGTCCCTTCAGGAATATGCATGTACTCTTAGCTTAAAAATTCCCTAATTTTGCTGTTTGGAGAGATACTGCTTTGGGAAAGATATTGGTGTTCTTACTTGCTGCAAGTAATAATAAGTCCTTCCTTCTCCTAATCTTTGGCTTAGCTGTGTCTAATGGCTTGACATCCACCAAGAGGCAAACCCATTTTTGTGTAACATCACCTTAGATGAGAATATTACATATTCAACAAAAACTTCCAATTCATAAAAACTGTCAACTGGAGCACAGCACCTAGTATAGTATCTGGTAGCATAGACGTTCAACAAATATATGTTAAGGAAAACAGCAAACACATAATTCAGGTACTCACCATTCTAATCAAAATTTACATATAATTCTTTTCTGATTATCTACCCTTTGGGTCATATTAAGAACAAATGGAATATGGGAATTAAAGTATTATCAACTCAAGCCACAGAGCACAAAAGTTCTGTGTCTATTATTTTCAGCATGTTCTTGTAAGTCATTCTTTTGAGAAAATTATTATTTAGCTGCAACAAATATCTCAGTAGAAATTTAGTTATTCCCAAGATATTTTCAATGAATAAGTGACACCACCACCACACTGATTAAAGTTAATATTGAAAACTCAGCATTAAAATAAAGAAGACAGGAAGAATACAGGTTAAAGTAGGAGTTGAATAGTTAGTTACTACAGATGAGAGTCATGACTGAGTTGAAAAAATACAGCCATACTAAAACAAAGACATACTTAGAGGTCTCATCCCCACTCTGATCATTGTTCAACAGTGAACTTGAGGCTTCACTTCTTAAGGTTTTAGAATATTTAAAAATAAGCATCAAGTGAGAAAGATGGGATGGGACGTAGGAGGGAGGTTCAAGAGGGAGGGCGCATATGTATACCTATGGTTGATTCATGTTGATATATGGCAGAAACCATCACAATATTGTAAATCAATTATCCTCCAAAAATAAACATTAATAAAACAATTTTTTTTAAAAAGTGAGAAAGAGATCACAGGATTTTTATACTTACCGGTAAATGTTCAAGCAATGAAGTTACACTCTCAGACACATATATTATGCTTCCATCTGTCATGATTGCTAAAAAAAAACCATCAAGAGCCTGAAATTAAACATAATGGTCAGTTAAATGAAAAGAAAAAAGTATTTCACAGGACAGACATAAAAATCTAAGATAAATCACAAAGAACTAGAAATTTCTAGAGCACTGTCAAAATACTAGCTTTTCCCCTTTACAATACCTTAGTATCTATCTTTGTGCATTTTAAGATGCTTCTGGAAGAAAAATGTCACTCTATGACCATTACTGAATGGCAAGTTTCTAAAAGAGAGAGACTTAATGTTCTACCTTTATCATATGTTATTATACAACAATGGCCTTATTTGAAGATGTTAATATTTCCAAAGCACAGATGCCATCAACAATATGTCTCTGGCCAACAAAAGAACACATTATCACCATCACATATATAATATTAACAGAAGTATATGACTGAAGCACAGGGAGATACATAGAGAATAAACTGAAAGGGAATAAGCTGAAAAAAGAGAGTGAGGTCAGATCATGGAAGGCTCTGAATATCAGTACAAGACATATGAACTTTGCTTAAGAGTGGTCTGGAAGCAATGTGTAAAATGGATTTTGAGAAAAAAGTGAATTAAGAGGAAAATTTCAGTGGCCTTTGGAATAATCAGAGAAGTTAAGGAGAATCCGAATAAAATTAGTAGCAGAGAAGAAAGGACTTAGGCAAGCATTAGGAAATGTGATGTTACGAGTTCAGGAGAGGAGTCAACACAGGGGAACAATACTTAACAAAAAGCAATATTCTATTCATGTCTCACAAAGTTTTTCACCTGAGAATCCTAGGCACCACAGTGAAAGCTGAAGAAATGAGATCTGCAAAAACGAAAAGGATGCCAAAGACAAATCTTTGGGGTATACTCTGTGTACGGAGATGAGGAGGAGCAGAAGTGCCACAGAAAATGACGACAGGACAGAACACACTGCTGCTGATGAAGTCAATGGAAGAAAGCACGACAGAGTGAATGGGGAGGAAAACGGATGGGTCAGTAAAAAATGGGATCAAACAAGACAAAGAATTAAAAAAATGAGGACAATTTTGGTGACTTTCAAGAGTTACGTCAACAGGAAGGAGATTCACACTACAATGAGCTTAGAGATGGGTGGATCATCAGAAGGCTATTATAAAACACTTTGTTCAAGTTCATGAAAGGACACATTTTGAGAGGACAAAGTATCAAGGGAAGTCATTTTCTTAGAAAAAGTAACTGAAATGTATTTTCAGGCTAAGGAAAAGAAGATCAATGGAAAAAATGTTGAAGACTTCCCTGGTGGTCCAGTGGCTGAGAACTCACCGCCAAGGCAGGGGACGGGGGTCTGATCCCTGGGCGGGGAGATCCCACATGCCTTGGGGTAACTAAGCCCATATGCTGCAACTACCGAGCCTGCATGCTGCAGCTACTGAAGCCCGCACGCCTACAGCCCACACTCCACGAGAGAAGCCATGGCAGTGAGAAGCCCATGCACTGCAACTAGAGCTCAGCCCCCGCTCGCTGCAACTAGAGAAAGCCAGAACGCAGCAACCAAGACCCAGCGCAGCCATAAGCAAACAAGTAACTTAAAAAACGAAGAGATACTGAAGATACACAGCAGGTAAAGTATATCTATCATAAGCGGAGTTCCTCTTCTATCAAATAGTTATCACACTAAATCTGAATTTCTTGTGTAAGTCAGGGCTCTCAAAGGATACAATTCTGGTAAGAACTATAGTATCTGCAATACTGTATATCTGCAGCACCTGGCATAGGTGTGGCACATGGCAAATAAAAAATACTTGTATGTTACTTACGCATCTGAGAGTTAGAGCAAGCTCCCTCTAATTCTAATTGTTGAGGTATATGGTGAATGTATGGAAAAAGGCATCCCCCCACCTCCTCTTTTATTGAAGGAAGACGTTTGGGTATCAGAAAGTAATTAATCTGAGCAGATGCCTGCCTTCCAGGATGGCTCAGACAAACTCATTCTTGATTAATGTAAGGGGAAGGGATGAAATCTTATAATTTAAGCAAATGCATGAAATTTTCACAAAAACTCTTTAGTACAATTATGCCATTATTATTTCCTAACAAAAAGGGTCAAAATGATGTTAAGAACATGCTTTTCTCATGTGAAGCTAGACTGTGTCATCTTTGAAAGCAAATTACTATGATGATCTCTATGATGATCTCTACTTATTCCTAGGAGATCTACTAGGAATTAGGATGCAGCTCTCTTCTGTGAAGGGAATAAACTAAAATCAGAACTCTTAATGACCTGATCCCACTCCCTGAGGCAGAACCTGCCCCCTTCTCTTCTGAAGCAGGTAAAGATTCATCAGAGAAAGACCTGCATCAGCATCCTGCCAAGTCTTAACACAAGAAAGGATCCAGAGTTCAAACTTCTTTTGAATGGAAGTATGTAGTTTTCCAAGAAGGTAGGTACGGACACCAAAATGGGAGGGGCTTTGACGAGGGAGAATCGAGAGATGTGGAACAAGACAGATGGCCATCCTCATCCCAAGACTGACAACAGTGAAGGTTACCCCTTGTTCACGTTGTACAATGGGAAGGACAGGGCTCATTAGTTAAAACTCATCTTCCTGTTTGACACCTACTTTGCACATATCACGAGGCCTGTACACATCTTGGTTGTTTACTCAGTGAGTACTTAATCTGGCAAGACTGGATGGGAGTCCCAAGGAAGGGGACAGAACCTCCTTGCGATGAGGCAGGCAAGGCCCTGGCCCTTCCCGTGTAGAATACTGGGGAGAGCTGCCAGCTGTCAAGAGGAAAGAACTCTGTACCAGATATGACTCCACACAGAGATAACTTGGCACAGAGGACTAGTAAGGCTAAATTGCCCTTATTTCCTTGGTTAATCTCAACATCCCCAACAAAGGTAGCAAGGAATATTCCTTAAGCATCAGAAACAAGGGACAGGGATGGGTGGCAATGGAAGAATGAAGAGAGACAGCCAATACACAAGGTATAAGTGAATTTTAAGATCTTAGTCTCAGTTCTTTGATTAATTAGCAGCCTGGACAAGCTACAATCTCTCCAGGCATCATCCATAAAATGAAGAGTTTGAGCTGAATGACCCTGCTAGCTCTTCTGCTAGCAGCTCTAACATTCCTAGACAAAACCTACATCTGAAATTCTGCCGAAAAGGGCATCCAGATTGCCTAACTGTAATCTGATCAACATGGTAAGCCAACAGTAACACAACTAGGTTAGCTGAATCCAGGTTATAATACACACAATTATACATATCCTTCAATCTTGGCCTACGAACATTAAAATGCCTACTTAGCAGGTGCAAATATTCACTAAAAATCAAAAATATGCTTGACATGTTAAAAGTTAGTAAATGTAATATTTTTCAGGAGTGTAATTTCAAAAGCTGTGAGGATAATAATGAGAAAACTAACTTATAGTTTCTAAATTAACATGTTTAAATATTCTGTTATATATAAGATTATAATCTCTAGACTCTTTGATTTAGTTATTTTTAATACTACATATGTACTACATGTGTCTTCGAAATTAAGTTAAAATCTGTTCACTGTAAAGAAAAATTTGAAGACAATTCTTTTCGATTTAGCTTATTATTGAATAGATAATTTACCTTCCTAAGTTTCTTAAACATAGATACTGCATTAATTTATGAATTTGTAAGAAAATTTGGGGGGACTTCCTAGCAGTCAAGCAGTTAGGATTCTGCACTTCCACTGCAGGGGGTGTTGGTTCGATCCCTTGCTAGAGAAGTAAGATCCTGCATGCTGATCAGTGTGGCAAAAAAAAGTCAAAAAAATAAATGAAGAAAAATTATTAAAAAAAGAAAATTTTCACACCAATAAAGCAGGGTAAGTAAAGAGTTTATGACTGGGACTCCCCTGGCGCCCAGTCATTAAAAACCCACCTCGCAGTGCAGGGGACGCAGGTTCAGTCCCTCGTCAGGGAAGTAAGATCCCATGTGCCTGCTAGCAGCTAAGCTTGACAGCCACCACCTGAGCCCCTGCACCCCAGAGCCTGCATGTCCCAGATAGAGAGTCCATGCACCACCAAGAGCATCCCACATGCTGCAACCAAGACCTGACACAGCCAGGTGAAGAAAAAGGTTTTTAAAACGGTTCCTGACAACGCAGATGGTACTGCCTCATGGCACTCAGAAATAAAGACAGATTTAAAGAACAATCCAATGAGCTGATTTCTTCTTGGGGTTACAAACATTACCTTGTTTGCACCCATGGCACTGAGAAATAAAGACAGATTTAAAGAACAATCCAATGAACTGATTTCTTCTTGGGGTTACAAACATTAGCTTGTTTGCACTCTCATAAATGCATAATTTCATAAACTTAATCTAGAGAGATAATTTTGGACAATGTCAAACTCCTTTTTAGAGAGGAAAAATTAATTGGAACTATTATTTGGTTTGTAACTTGTGTCCACTCATTTAAAGAGCTAATTGCTGGTCACAAGCTAAAAGCTCTGTGCCACAGCTCTCACTGAAAAGAAGTGCCATGAGCGGCAGTGGACACAGGGTCTGGGGCCACAGGCTCAGAGCCTAGTTTTCCTGCAGCGAATCCTGGCTCAGCTAACCAGTTTTATTTTGAGCAAATTTCATAATCCCTTCCCTCAATTTCCTCATCTGAAAGTAAGAAAGGGATACTAATAGTGTATCTTCATAAGATTATTGTGAGGATTCACTGAGGTAATAGCATGTAAGATGTGCTCAGTTATTTTTTCAGATTTTAAGCATGGCTTTAAGTATATATACAATGTATTTCCACTCAAATCAATTTTCATATGGTGACATTTCTGCTGAATATATAAAGACTTAATCCAGCAATTAACTGTTCTACCTAGTAAAAACAGAAAAATAATTCAATAATTTGCAAAATACTGTTGCTTTGGACTTTAGTCAACATGCAAAGACACTTGAGACATGGTTCTTACATATACATATACCACAGAGATATATGCTTAAAGTCTAAAATAACAAACCTGAACAGACAGAATAAGAAATGCGAATTATTTAACAATCTCTACTTCAACTGTTTTCTTCTACTCCTTCTGTCTCTAGCTTCTTTTGCTTATCTACTTTTCTTGTCCTTAACTGTTAACACCCAAGTATAATACCACCTTTATTAATTACTAGTTTTTTTTGCGAAAAAAAAAAAGCTGTCATAGAAATCTGATACTGAACTCTGTACTTTGTGTGCATGAAGATATCCTTATTAATCTAAATTGGAAATGTTTAAAAAGTAAAACTGATAGGTATGAGTGACTCGAAATTTTTGTGGATTTTATAACTGATTATGTGACATATTAAGTTTTGCAATTCTAAGCAAGTATGATCTGAACTGTATTCAAAAATAATTCTGTCATGGAAGAACATCTACTTTTAGAAGGAAAACCTTTTAGAAGTTTCTACTTAAAATGAGAAGAGTTGCCTTTCAATGTATATTTCATTATTTTAATATTTTCAAAATACTTCATTTAGTATCATTTTGTATTTCGGTGGATTTTAATTTGTTGAAAAAATCCTACTGTCCAGTAAAATACATTTCATAATATTTACTATGTGTTGAATAATATATTTTTCATTTAAATGTTAGTGTTGTCCAGGTAGAGAACTTGGTAGTTGTAGGTTTCTGACTTATTAAGCCTCTCAAAAATTCAGATGATACTGAAAGCCCAAAGATTTGGCATTACTTTACCACATATAGTACTATTTTATTACAATACTTACATCAGTTAATTTTAAATGAATAGTTGGTTGACTTACACTGAATTAAGATTTTTCAGTATTAAACTCATATTGCTAAATCTATACTAGAATTGGTAACCCCTATGATTTCTTAAGAAAATAAAACTTTTCAAAAATTAATCTGGACATACCTCTAGCATTAATTGTGTAAACTCTTCATTACTAAGGAATGTAGGTTTCCAGTCCTGTCGAATTTCACTAGCGTCTGACTGTGCAGTGATTTCTGTAAACAGATTAACATATTAGTGGCACTACTTAAAGAGGAGAGCCATAATCAGAAACATTTATTGGTCTAGGCAGGTATCAGGAGGTACACATTTTGGTATGATGAAATATTTGCGCTAATGCAGCAGGTCATCTGCTTGAATAATTTGGATAACTTTAAGACTAGTCTCTTGAAAACGCCAGTCTCTGAATTTTCTCTGGGGAGCTTAGAGAATCTTTGTTCCTGACTGGCCTGAGATTGCTTCCTGCTTTACACAACGATCAAATAAGAATCAGAATAAGCAGACTAGATCAAGCATTAGAAACTTCTTTCCCCTTTCTTTGCTTCAAACAATAGTACCTAGAACAGGCCTCAGGACATAAACCTGGAGGAAAGGAGCTAAGGAGACCAGTCAGTCTGCTTTTAAGAAAGAATTATTTCAGGCCTGCCTATTGCCAGGCAAAGATTCTTCCCAGGCTAAGGTGTTCTATTCTTAATCAAAGAGACTAAACTAAAATTCTAGGCAAAAACTTTACAGTAATAAACCCAGATTGATTCTGCGCTGTGTCCTCCGGCATGTTTTCTTAGTGGTAGGAAGCTGGTCAAAATTTGGAGACTCCCTAGCTTTTGGCACATGTTTTAACACAATTATTATAGTTTATTTTGCAACATACTTCTAATGGATTGTTATAAAAAGCTATTCATAAATGATGACATCTGTATAGGCAATATTTTTTCCATATTTAAATGCAGACATATTAAAACAACCAAGCAAAATTAAAATACATATCACAGATTTTACTGTACAAAATATACTCTATCTTGCAGTGGAAAATATGGACTAAGTTGTTTTGATTTCTCTATTACCAGATATATAAATACAGCATAAAAAATTGGCACCCCAAATTTGGCATATTGGAAATGTCTGTATTAGATATGAATAATTACAGCTACTAATTCTGTGGAATATAACCATGCCTTTCAAATTCATTTAATTATATACATTCAGAAAAAAGGACTTAAATCCATAAACAAATTCCATCAAGTTTAGCTAAATCCAGGTTTATTTTTAGAGTAATAAGTATGCAAGAATTACCTTTCAATTTCAGGTAAATTTTAATTTTGTGAGAACCATAAGCCCAACTTTTTAAAAAAATCTAAATGCCAAAATTTATCCTCTATTGTCAGGGGGAAATAACATGCATGCGTATTATTTCATTCAACAATCATTTACTGAACTGCTACAAAGTCTGAGGAATGAGTACACTAACAAGGGAGGAAGAAATCAGTGAGAATGCCATTTGCAGAGATAAAATGTACTGGCAACATAGGCAGTAAAAATGAACACCAGCAATTTTGACACATTACCAAAAGAATCAACAAAATTTGGCAGCTGTGATACTGTGCACTAAAAAATGCAAAACTCTTCTCAGGTCTGAGTCCCGGGGAGTGAAAGGACTGTGGTGTGAAATGGAAAACTGAAACAAAGAGATGACTCGGCAAAATGAAAATGAATTCAATTTTAGATGTGTTGAGTCAGAGAACATTTAAAACCAAAGATCCAGAAGTTACCTGGAAATGAAAAACTGTAAAGTCTGCATCTAAAAATACAGACTTAGTAGTTTAACAGAAAGGCAAAACCAAGAGCATAGAGAAAGCATGAACACAAGATAAGACCTAGAGAAATGGCATGTTCAGAGGGCAGAAGGAGGAAAGAAGTTTGCTCGCTTGGGAGAGGGAGGTGAATGAAGAAATCCAGTTTATCCCAGAACAAGGAGGAAGCAAGCCAGCGGAGCGCAGGTAAACTTCCCAGTGCTTCAGAGATGCAGAAGAGGATGAGGTGCAAGAAAGAGCTACTGCTTTGCTGGCAGCAGAGAGGGTGGGGGACATGGTACTAATAAAATTAACAAAAATAATTGTAAACAGTGGTGGAGCATAAACCAGGCTAGTAATAGATTACAGAGTGAGCTATCGAGAAACAAAAGCACTAGTTACAAATTCTCTTTTGAGAAGTTCTATAGTTTATTTGCATCTGAAAAAGGAAGTGTCCTTCTACACAAGTTTTTCACCTATTTTTTATTAAGTAGCATCTGTTAAGTACCAAAATACTTACTATTCTCTAAAATTTCCTTTCCATGACATATTTAGTCAAAGTGATTTTCTTTAACAAATAATCACTTTAAAACCATGTTTATTTCCTAGTCACTGAAATAATGTTTAAATTACATATCTCATGATCTCACTCAATTCTCCTCCAAATACACTCATCATTTTCCAGTTCAATTCTATGCTCCAGTTACACTGACCTCTCCTTCCTTCTCTGGTTTTACACATGCTGCTCCCTCCATGTGAAATGCTGTTTTCCTTAAGATGAAAGGAAGACTCGGCTGGAAAATCAACTGGTTTTATGACTTCTCTGACACATTCTTTCCTCTGTGTTTTCACATAAATATTCTTTACAAGCACCACTCACATTATAATTACTTGCATTGTAATTAGCTATTATATATTATTTGTCTCCCTTGGTTTGAGTCACTTGAGGGTCAGAACTATTACCCTGCACCACAAGAATCTAGGCTGTGTGTGTTAATCGCTCAGTCATATCCGACTCTTTGTGACCTCATGGAATGTAGCCCGTTAGGCTCCTCTGTCCACGGGGATTCTCCAGGCAAGAAAACTGGAGCAGGTCACCATGCCCTGCTCCAGGGGATTTTCCCAACCCAGGAACTGACCCCAGGTCTCCTGCATTGCGGGGAGATTCTTTACCATCTGAGCCACCAGGGAAATCAAGGATATAGTAGGCACTAAATAAATGTTTGTTGAATGAAAGAAAGAACATACCAGGGAATCATTAAAAGGCAATTGTTTTCTTTCTCTTAAAAAAAGGTTAGGAAGCATCCAGTCCCAAGCATCACTGCCAAGATTCTATCACATTATGCTTTAAGAGAGAGTCTGTTATTTAAAAAAAAAAAATCCATTTTACAAAGTTAAAAATGTACCTTTATGCTTTCGTAAAAAATCGATGCTCTTCTGTAGAACAGTAGATTTGTCCATCTTTCTAGTATTACCAGGAAGCATGGATCCCAGTTCTTTAATGAGAACATTAAACTGATCTCTACGCTTCTTTTCAGATTTGTTTCTAGATACTCTGATGGAATAAAAAATTACATAAGCAGCTTTCAAACAATTCATTTAACTACACAAATAGTTTAATACAATGCTCAGTATGGACATGACCACAGAGCACATACTTCTGTGAATACAAATGGTAATGAATGTTCATATTCTAGGTTACTAACAATATCGTTAATTAGGACAGTAATTTTTCTTCTTGACTTAACCACTAAAGAAACTTACATATTAAGCACTTGGCATATTGTTTTTAAGACAAATTACGTTCAAATCTCAAGTTTTACTGAATCTAATATTTATCAAGAATTTGTGTTTCCCTTACAAGGCTATTATTATTACTGAGATATTTTGTGAAAGTACATATAAAATATAAATACAAATTATTAAAAATTACTGAATAGGAGAAAGTTATCCATCTCCTGTAAGCTTTAAATTATAAACAGAAATATAAAGATGAAAATCTCTCTACCCTCAGGCTCACCCACACAGTCTTCCTCTTTACTCCTCTATCCCAACCTCCAACACAGACCTGTAACCACTTGCTTTCATATCTAATCTCTTCACTGGGCTGTGGGCTTCTTGATAGCAGAGCCCAAATTTTTTCATCTAAGCATTTAAGCGTAACACCTAACAAACAGTAAGTGCTCTAAATATATGTGCTAAATGAATAATTCCCACTGTTCTATGTGAAGCAGTAACCAGGAGCAGTTCTTAGCTGCACTGAGAACTTGTAAGATAAATACAATCATTTACAGAGCAACCAATCATTCCGTAACACTCCTAACTACATGCTTTTGTGAAGTCATACTTTAGAATTCAGTTTTTGTTTAAACAAAGTATACTACTTTCCCAAAAGGTCAGAGGATAATTCTATTAATTTAATTTTTTTTCAGTAAAGAAGCAGCATTTATTCTGTATTAGTCCTGGGAAGAAATACAAAAAAAACCTCTTAAGAAATGTAATAGAAATTAACTGACCCCCCTCACCAAACACTAAACTCTTTGTTACAATGATAGAGACTGTGCTAACAAGGGCTAGGAATATTGGACAAAGATAACCCTTTCAAGAAATTCACCTAAATCCTATGGAAACTCCTAAGTGCACTACATTGAATCATGAAGGCTGAGTGAGAAAGGGGCCAGGGAGAGTGGGGGGCAGGGTAGTGGTGTGTGAGAAGGCCACTCCAGACACAGGAAACTTGTAGAAAGATGAAAACCTATCACAAGTAGCTCAGCATGGCTAATGTGGCTAGAGTACAGGCTTTCTGTGCCCAAGTACGCTGCAGTCAGGGGTGTGGGTGGTGGGAAGTTCGGAATAATAAGTACTCAGAAAAAAAAATCATTAAGTTTTTATGCTACACAAAAGGATTTTAGTTTTAGTGAAAGTCATTAAACAGTCAAAGGTACTGAAAGGTTTTAAGCAAAGAAATGCCATGAACAGAACTGATTGTTAGTAAGACCATTCCGGCAGCCGAGTAATGAAAGAATCAATGCTTGGTAAAACAATTCATTTAACAAAAGCTACTGAAAACTTACTGTATACCAAACAAGACTGGGGGCCAAATGGCCATTTAGGAGGAACTGCGATATCCTGGGCTACAAACCACAGCAGTGGCAGTGTTAACACGGCAGTGCGGGTCTGAGGATTAACAGGCAGAACTAGCAATTCTAGGCAAATCAGATTTGCAGTGAGGAAGCAAAAGAAAAATCTAAAAGAATTTCCAAGTTACCATGTAATATATAACATGAGGTATTAGTCTGGGTGGAGAGATGGTTTGGGGAGAATTTAAATATGGTGAAACTGCTTGTTTGACATTTTAAAGGACATATGCTAGAGGACATGAGACAGATCTAGTTCTACTCCTCTGGAAAGGAGTAAGCAGGAAATAAGCACCAGAGAATTAGTATCTATGAAATATCTGAAGACATGTGTAGAAGGTAAAATTTAGAGCCATTATTGTATATTTATATGCTAGGCATTATTGAAAACATTTATGAAACTTCATTTAATTCCTATGAAGTAGATCTTATTATTTTCATTTTATAGATGTGGCAACTTAGGCATAAAAGAGAATATGCCCAGGATCATACAGTTACCATGAAATAATCATTTAAAACTGGCATTTTAACTCAAGTGTAAGAAATACATGGAAATCAAAAATCATTGACAATTCTACCACTGGATCACACTCATTAAAGTAACTTTACTTCATGTTACACTCAGGTTGGAAGTACTCAGCCCTTGTGATGACCTCAGTAATTATAGCTCATAGATGTCAGAGCTCAATTCGGTCTGGGTAATTCTGACAGCATTATTAAGAGGTCTTCTTTCTCAACGTTTCCCACAACCATAGTATTTTTGGTCCCCTAAATACATGATCAAACCTTCATCTCTGCAAAGAGAAAACCCTTAGCTCACCTTATCCATCTATAAATTTGGCCTTTAAATCTGTCCAAGTTAATTCCTCAAAGTTCTGTCTCTTCATTCAGGCAAGACTGATTATTCCCACCTTAACGGTGACTTTACTTCTACCCTAAAATATTTTATAGAAACTTTCTCCCACTAGACTGAAAGGAAAGGAGTTATCCTATATATGTTTAGCTTCAAGTACAGGTCTTTTTATTTACTTGAATAAAGTTATATAGCTTTCCTCAATATTTTCCTTATCCCAGTACCATTTATTTTGCTAAAACAGATGTTTAGGAACTAGTTCTTATTACATATTTATTTTTTGTTTCTGAATGTAATGCTACAACACCCTCTACCCTCATCTAAGCACCCACATAGTTCAATGTGACTGGAAAAAAGCCAGAAAAGTCCTGCTCACTCTCAGTGACTACAAACTTGGCTGTAACGCTATCTGGACCCTCCCTCCTGCTGCTTTAACTACAATCAAGGCCCATATTTAAGGTTAAACCCTCAGCATCACCACCATGGCTCTAGACGCCATCCGCTCTCCTACTTGATGAACCTCTCCATCAATTCTCCCTGTCCTCCCCTATCATCTATTTTCCCTTCTACTGGAGAATGGAGGCATGTCAAAAGACACAGAGAAGCCAACCCTGAAAGGCCTTCAAATGCCAAAGCTGGAACAAACCAAGCAACTGAATCAATAGCATAGCACTGGAGTATAAGATCCCCCCATGGGAGGTGAAACTTAATTCTCCCATCTCTGCTCTGAAGGTGTGCTATACTAGATAAATTGCTTCCAAAGAATAGAGTAGGTTAAGGAAAAATAGTAACTACAATGATGACTCTAGGCACAGCCTCCCTTAGCAAGTAATTGAAGGCTCACGTCCCCAGTGATGTCATGTAAATACTAAGTGCCATAATGTGATGTGGTGAGAAAGGCACTTTTAGAAGAAAATTTTATTTAATTTATGAACTACATACTGATATCCTCAGCTCTTCTACTTTTTAACATATCTAAGTTCTTAAGGCAGACAGCTTTTAGAAATCACTGATTTACTGTTCACCATTACATTTACTTGTTCCTTGTTTTTCACTGTATCACATCATAAGCTTAACCACCTTTTTGCTTTGTCCTTGTCATCTTCTTCCACCAACCCATCAAAAATACTACCGTCATCTCTAAAAGAAAAAGATACAGAAAATAAGAGCAGATTCACTAAGCAACAGCAATATGAAAACAAAACATAAATCAATCAGTTATAGCCTAGGATCTTTGTAGAGTTAGTTACAAACTGCACAAATTCAAGCCCAATAAATATTAACCTGTTCTCTAATACATACAAAGTTCAACTATGTTTTACATTTTAAAAAGTTTATTAAAATAAGAATTTAACCAAAAGTTAAATATCTTATTTCAAACTTTATGAAAACCTAGAGAAAATCAGTGTATTTGCCATTATAAAAAAGATTCACTTAAAATCATATTTAATTATAGTAGCACATTTTAAAATAGACATTTACTTTACAAAACACAAATCAGAAACATCACAATATCTAGCATGTTAACTTATACGATATAATTTCATTCATTACTGATTCATCTGACAAACATTTTTTTTGTCAGCACTCTCGTGCTACACTCTGTTCCAGGCGTGGCTACCAAGCAGTTAGCTAGACATATAGGTCCCTGCTCCCCCGCAGCTTTTTTTCTAGTAGGAAAAAACAAACCAACATGAAAATGTATGAGCTGTTTTTTATTTTTAAAGGAGCGATGTTTTTATTACTGGGTGGTTATTTTAGTCTGTGTGGTTAGGGAAGGACTTGAAGTGGGAACATTTGAGCTGAGATCTAAAAGACAAGAAGGGGTTGGTTATGGGAAGACTGAGGGGAAGAGCATTCTAACAAAAGTCTCTCTGAAATCTAGAGACCTGGTGGCTAACTCCTTAACCTAAGGGGCAATATGAAATAGTTTCAAGTGACTTATGATCTTTTACATGAACTCACTACTGATTCCTTTAACCACATCTCTCTGTGGCCTATAAAGTGCCTATGAGTCCCACAACTGAGATCATCTACAAATCTTCTATCATAGCAAACTTTTGGGGTTCCATGTAAACACTAAAAATTTATAAAAAATTCTACATGTAAATGCACATAATTGAGGAAAGAGTCCATTAACTTTCATGACATTCAGAAAGAAAATGAACTCATATTAAGAACCACTGCTTTATGTCTGAACACTCTGATGTCATCCCTAGATGTCATACTGTCTAGAATGGGAACTGGAAATCATTCAAAAGCACAACACTGAAATCATACTTAATGCCTCAGGGGTAGTGAAGAAACATTCTTTCTGAGCAGAAGACTACACATAGATTCCACTTGAAACTACTGCACAGCCCAAATCTATGGCAGGGCTCCCTGAGGAAACTCCTTGCCCTTCAGATCTTAAGCTCTGGTAAAGTATGTACCTTCACTATTTACCTCACAGAAAAGGGAAGAAAGCTGCCTCTAGATGTCAAAAGTCACTTCTATGCACAAGTCTAGCTATAAAATTCTTAAAGAATCCCCTATGGAAAAATCACACAGTATACGAAAATAAAAGCATAGGAACTTTAGAGTCAGAGAGATCAACACAGGTTGTAACTCCAGCTTATTATTTACTATGTGACCTTAAAACAAGCTATTTAACCTCTCTGACCTACGGATCCCTCATCTGTAAAATCTCATGGAATTATTGTGAAATTAAATGAAGTTAAAGTACAAAAAAGTGCTCTGCATGTTAGCTGTCAGAGTACGTATTTTTAAAAAGCTGTCACTGTATTTCATCAAATTTAAGATACCACTGATGATAAAACTTATTATGTCCACTAAAAGTGAAAGTGAAGTTGCTCGGTTGTGTCCGGTTCTTTGCAACCCCATGGACTGTAGCCTACCAGGCTCCTCCACCCATGGGACTTTCCAGGCAAGAATACTGGAGTGGTTGCCATTTCCTTCTCCAGGAGATCTTTCCGACCCAGGGACTGAACGCGGGTCTCCCGCTTTGCAGGCAGACACTTTACCGTCTGAGGCAGCAGGGAAGTCCATTATTATGTCCACTAAGAAATTTAAAGATACTACAAATTAAACTCTGATAAGCCTACTCTAAGATGAATTCCAGCATCAAACATGTTAAAAGGTAAAAAAAAAAGTTAAAGAAGTCTTAAAATCAAAGAAACAAGGAGGCCGATCCTTTACCAAGTGTAAGATTTAAAGATTACAATTTCAACTAACCTCTTATGAGTCACCTCTCATGAGTTATCTCTTATGAGTCACACATGCTAAGATGTTTAATGGGCTGAAGTTAGAACCAATAGATAAGGAGATAGATGATTCCAGAAAGTGCCAAGGAAACCCCTGAAATTGTTGCAATTCCTTTCAGAACAGTTCTGACCAAATCACTCAAAATTACAGCTCAAGAGCCATTTACAACACAAGCCACATGCTATTGACTTTGGCTTTAGATAACACATTTTACTATTACATGACATTTGCTCAGCACAGAAGCTAAGTATAATAGTATTAATGATTAAGCATAATACTTCTTTTATCAGTGATACAGACCATTACTCTAACAGTGAATTTTTAAAATAGCTTTACATAATTCAAAATAAATGATTCGCTAAAAACATACCTGTCAACAAGTGAGCTCATTTTACTACAGCTTACGGTAAACAACATAACATGCTACGTTTTCGTCTTGTGGTAGACATTTGTACTTCTCCTTGAGTGGAAGGAAAAGTAAACAGTCATTAGTTTTCTAGAAAACTGATTTCTACAAACATAGTATTAAATAATTTGAGAAACACTATATGTTTATCATAGAGATTTCAAAATGTTTCTGTTTCTACAAAGGGCTAGAACATTATTTTCAAGAAAATAATCCTTAGCTAAGGCACATTAAAGGTTTTGTTTTGTTTTCTTCTATAAAAAGAGCTAAAGAGGAAAAAAAAATTGAAGACCATAATTCATTTCCTTTCTATAATAAAGTAATCAAAAAGCCACTATATTCAGTATAGATTATAACTATATAACTACGTAAGTAGGCTACATATGTCAGTCTAGGTAAGTAAGCTTTAAGAACACCAGCTAATGGGTGATTAACATTTGCTAAAAGTCTATTTTCTATTAAACAGTACAGTTAGCTTTGGAAATACAAGGATAAGAGATACAATCATTATAGGCAAAAGTCTGCAATTAAACAGGGAGGCAGATAACTAAATAATTACAGTAACAGGGATAATGAAGGTATATGGGGGGAGTCAGATGAAATATTCTTGATGACAGTCATATTGTCAGGCAGCAGAAATTCTCGTTATCGAAAATGTGGTCCTGAGACCAACATCATCATCAGAGAGCTTGTTAAAATACAGAATCTTGAGACCAGCTCTAGTCTTAGTAAAGCAGAACCCACATTTTAACAAGGTCCGCATGTGATCTGGATGACCATTTAAGTTTCAGACGCAACAGGCTAAAGGACAAGAGGTAATAGTTGACAGGATTCTAGGCCACAAGAATAGCAATACGCAAAGGCACAGGCCTTTATGAGATGAGAGGGCTCATATTTGAGCAACTTTTCTCTTTAGAGAAAAATGTAGGTATATTACAACTGAAAGTTTTAATTACCAGAGTATAAAGCGAGAGACAGCAGGAGCAGTAAGGGGGGAAGTCAAGTGAACTGAAGAACAGCCTTATTATAAGGCTTCATGTTCACACTGGAAGAAGTAACATTTACTGCCTTGAAACTCAGTCATAAGCCTAAAATGTCTCTCTATATTCTATGCAGTTTTTCTAAAGTAGAAGGCAGGTTTTACCCATAAAAGATACAGTCATGAGTTAAATATTGAATAAACACCTTAATTCTAATATCCTAACAGTTTTGAGCCAAAAGAAACTTTATTTAAAATTTAGAAAATAGTGTAAGTTGATCTGTCACTATGAGCAGAGGATATTAAAGAACATGAGATTCTAAAATGCTCAATCACTGTTTTCAAATGTACCCTCATGAGAGGAAGACAGTAGCTCTTGATAAATGAGGCTGGGTTGCCTATGCGGTTATGGATGCAGAAGTGGGACAGTGCAGGGCTAAGAGCTCTTAGAAAATAGTGGGGAGGATAATGGGGCGGGGGTAGAGAGCGACAGTGGTGAAGAAAAATAGAAAGAACTTCAGGATAAAATAGCGATTTTAAGTGCCTGGGTCAACATCATTAAGCACAACACAAAATTACAGGGTTTCAGAGTTAGAAGAGACTCTAAAGATCACCTAGGCACAGCCCTCTGGTGCAGCAGACATGCTTATCTTCATGATAACAACAGAGGCTGGTTCTAGCACTAGAACAAAAAGAACAGTCCAAAGGTAACAGAGCCAACCTGGGAGAATTAAGAAAGAACAGTTCCAGCTTACAGTTAAAAGAACAGATCTGGGCCTTATATGGCACCAAGCAGCCACTTGTTTAATTATGAGGAGATAGAATAGGGCAAACTAGAGGGGAAAAAAAGACCCAAAGAATAAGGATTTAAAGACTATACAGGAGGGACCATGCTGACTCTAAGGGAGGTGAATCCAAAATGCTTTATAAGACAGACTGATGCTTTCTTAAGCTATTTTATTATTGTTGGTTAACAGAATTTTTCCAAACACTATTTGCTGTCCAACTAATTGAGCGACACAAAATTACATCTCTGACAGCTTAGTCCAAGATCTTTTCTCTACTTGTCCAGCCAATTGATAGAAACCCTATATTTAAGGGAAAGATAAAAGGAAGAAGTGAAGTAGGCCCAATTAAGTAAAGTAACTTTTAGAAGATTCCCTTTGATTAACAAAACAAAGTGGTAATGTCAGAGCAGCCACAGGTCTTGCGTCGGGACTATTCTAGGACCCATGTTTTCAGTACTAAAAGACTAGGTATAGTTTACACATGCTCATGTTATGAATTCTAAGGACTCACTTTTAGAAGACATGTGAAGTTCCTACTCATAGCAAGCAATTTCTAATACCGATTAAATATTGTTAAAACTCTTTTTTCTTAAATATTGACATTAATAGACCAGTATGGTATGCAATAAAATGTCTTTAAAAGGAACAGTTACAGTAGTTGGAACAAATTAAATTATGTAAAGGATCAAGTTACAGCTAGGAATCGCATGCTCCTTTACATAAGCAACTTGAGCTCAAAGTTATTCATTCAGGGATATGAATTCCCAGCTGAGTAAGCACCACATCACTATTTTATCACAATGGAGGGCAGGATGATATAAGTTTTTTATAAACATCATTTTAAAAACAACTTTTTAAAAAATTTATCAAATGGGGAGCTATTAATAACTAATAAACTGTATAAGCAATTCAAAGTTTGCCAATATTGAAGCAGGTATGTTTTAAATTCAGCACACAACATTACAGGTAACTAACAGAAAATCTCAGTACCCGGCAGTCCATCTTTGGAAAAGAATTCATATACAATGTAACACATTCTGTATTAAAAATAAATTATGCAGTATCTAATGATATGATACTACTTGTCCTCTGAATTCCATCTGCTATCTTAAAGCTTTCCATTTCTACATCACTAATTTCTCCCTCCAAAACTGAATTATTCTGATCAAAATCTTAGTATATTACCTTAAAGAAAAAATGAAACACAAAACTTCCTTGACCCACCAATCACCTTCAGGTTCCGTCCTCCTTTTCTGCTCCCTTTCACAGAAAAACAACTTGTCAATTGTGTACAGTTGGTATTTCAAGATCTTTAATTAATTCCCCTCTCTCATTTTAAAAACTCAGTGTTGATTTTCACAAATGTATACCTGTTCAAAGTTTAAAGTGTCCGAAAAGTTCTACAAGACTTTTAAAAAACCAAAGTTCTCTGATTCCCATGCTCTACCTTCAACCCCTTTCATCCTGTTAACTCCTTCCTTTGGTACCTAACTGCCCATCGCTAATACCTCTTACTGCTTCTTGGTTCTTTCTGTTTCAGGTGGGGTGACTACGCAGTCCCAATTTATTCACGCAGCCCCAATGAAATTACTAAAAGCACCTGCTTCTGCTCCAAAAAGTATCTTTAGCCCTTCATCTACACAATTCCACTATGAAAAATAATAATGTAGCACTGACTCTCCCCAACTCATTTTCCTGGGGAAGTGTCATTTCAAAGTACATTTGAAGATAGAATCATTTCATTACCTTTTGTATTTCTGAGATCTTTGAACTGATTCTTCAGAAAACTATAAGTTTTCTTCTGTACGGCTGACCATCAGTCTCAGAATTCTGTTTAAACAAGAAAAATTTTGTTAGATTTACTCAACTTATATAGACATTTATCATAAAAGAGGTTTTAAAATAATTTTGAAACATAAAATTTAGAATTTTGTCACAAAACAATATATAAGAAATGCTAACCGAGAGGGATGGGGTGGGGAGGGAGGTGGGAGGGGGGTTCAGGATGGGGAACACATGTAAATCCATGGCTGATTCATGTCAATGTATGGCAAAAACCACTACAATACTGTAAAGTAATTAGCCTCCAACTAATAAAAGTAAATGAAAAAAAAAAGAAATGCTAAACACTAATAATTGTTTCTAAAAGAACTTTAAAAAACTACAACCACTTTTAATTCTACTCCAGAAGTTAAAAGACTAAAGTATAAAAGTAAGTATAACTATAAGGTATGTTAATGAACACACCTTTATATGTGCTAACAAACACTCATATATGATGAATATAAACAGATATAATTTGTAATAGAGATCAAGTGTGGTGGGGGGAAGAGAAGTAAAAGAGTAGAGTTTTTAAAGTTATCAGCTTAAGATATATTATTAACATTATGGTAAGCACAAAGAAAACACCTATAGAGGATACCAAAAAGGAAATGAGAAAAGAATCAAAACAGAATCAAAGAATCAAACCCTATAAAAAAAATTTTTTTTAAAAATCAATGAAACACAAAGGAAGACCAGAGGGAAAAAAGTGGAAAAAGCTACAAGACAGACAAAAAATGAACGAAACAGTAAGTCTTTCCCTATCAGTAATTATTTAATTGCAAATAAACTGAAGTTGCCAATCAAAAGAGAGAGTAGGTAAATGGATAAAAAAAAACAAAATCCAACTATATGCTATCTATGAGAGACACTTTAGATTTAAGGATATACAGAGACTGAAAGTAAAAGTCTGGAAAAAGATATTCCATCCATACGATAACCAAGAAATCAAGAATAGCCATACTTATATATCAGATAAAACAGACTTTAAGTAAATAACTGTCACAAAAGATTAAAACATTATATAAAAATAAAAGCATCAAATTTATCAGGAAGATAAAACAAATACAGGTACAATTACACCCATTTCACATGCTAGCAAGGTAATGCTCAAAATCTTTCATGCTAGGCTTCAATAGTACATGAACTGAGAATTTCCAGATGTGCAAGCTGGATTTATAAAAGGCAGAGGAACCAGAGATCAAAATTGCCAACATCCACTGGATCATAAAAAAAAGTAAGAGAATTCCAGAAAAACACCTATATCTGCTTAACTGACTATACTTAAAGCCTTTGACTGTGTGGATCACAACAAACTGTGTAAAATTCTTAAAGAGATAGGAGTAACAGACCATCTTAAGCCTCCAGAGAAATCTGTACTCGGGTCAAGAAGCAACAGATAAACTGGACATGGAACAACGGA